ACAGCTGTATCTGTTCAACTAGACCCAACTTGTGCCAAATTTAGTACCATTTAGTACTTTTCGCATACATAAGTACGATTATTTAAAGCTGCATAAATCCTGTACTCCTATAGTTCCTGTAATCAGGGTTCCATATATACGCTCAACTAAATGCAAATAGTACCAAATTTAGTACCTTTTATACAACTAAGTACGAATTTTTAAAACCATTTCCATACTTCCCAACTTATATTCCATATAAAATATCAAGATTCTAGCCATGTTTAATATATACAATTAGAACTAAATTTAGTAAAGCTTATTACTTTTCGTACACTAATAGATCGAAATTCCGAAAACCCTTTTGTACATCTTTTTAACTTTCCGTCAGTCATCCACATTGCAAATTTCAAAAATTCTAGCTCTTCCTGTTAGCCTAATACAAAGGGTACAATATTTAGTACTTTCTGTACTCTTCTAATTCGAATTTCCAAGCTTCTAGCTTCAGCCGTTTCGTCTGGGCGATGATCTGTTAGTCACTCACTCACTTATCACTAAGTTCTATTATACATTAACATAATTCATATCCATATTTTCTATTGAAAATAATTTCCAGAATCCGTGAAATCCGCGATCCCCACAACAATGAAGTTCCCGACAATTTCGAAGAAGAAATAAATCGCTGGACATTGGAATCAGTATCCGTTGTGGCATTAGACAAACAATTGGGTTTAATACGCCAACATCGCGATAATCCTCAAGCTAAACTTCTATTTAAATCATTGACGGAGATGTTTGTCTATGCTATGGAATTAGAAATCAAACCATCGATATGGAAATATTATACAACACCAACAATGAAAAAATGTATCCAATGTTTAGATCAAATTACAGAAATGACAAAATCCTATATCGAAGAGGCAATTCAACGCATCGAAGATGAATCGAAAAATAATCGGAACAAAAAATCATTTAAAGAGAAAAGTGTATTGGAAAAATTAATAAATGTTGACAAACAAACTGCCGTGGTTATGGCAATGGATATGCTGATGGCGGGTGTGGATACGGTAAGTGGGTATAACATTTAATATTCCTGTGTGAAAATTTAAAATATTTCCTTTTTCAAGACCACAACCACATTTACAGGTTTACTTTTGAATTTAGCAAAAAATCCAGAGAAACAAGCAAAACTTCGAGAAGAGGTGATGCATTTATTGCCTCGTAAAGATTCTGAATTTAATGAAAAAGTATTTCGAAATATTTGAAGGCATGCATTAAAGAATCGTTGCGCATATATCCCTTGACATTGGGTAATACAAGGGTACCAATTAATGACATCGTGTTAAGTGGTTATAGAATACCCAAGGGGACACAAGTCATAATGGTATCAACTACACTGATGAGAGATGAGAGACACTATCCCCGTGCCAATGAATTTTTACCAGAACGTTGGCTGAGGTCTATAGAAGAAACTTCGTCTATGGATTTATTGAAGCCCAGCAGTCCCTTTATTTATTTACCCTTTGGATTTGGTCCACGCAGTTGTATTGGTCGCCGAATTGTTGAAATGGAATTGGAAATGGGTATTGCACGTTTAGTAAGAAATTTTTATATAGATTTTAATTATTCCACTGATAATGCCTTTAAATGTGCTTTGATAAATGTACCAAATATCCCATTGCGATTTAAATTTACTGATGTTGAAAATAAAAAAAGAAATAAAAACTACCCATTTAACCCTATTATTTGAAAATTTAAAAATATATTTGAGTTGATAATCTTTGGGGAGGTACTAGAAGAGGTTACACAATGGACCCAATCTTAGGATTTAATGCAAGTTTGGAAACATTTTACGATTTGCAAAGTTTGCGTAGCGCATCTTTTCTGAAATAATTTTTCGGGAGGATGTGGCTTTTAAAAATACATTTTTGGACTCGGAAGTGTGGATTTTAAAATTATTTTTTTTTGGACTCAGAAGCGTGAATTTTGAAAAAGGACATGTCTCATATGACATATGACATGTCACATATGTCATATGACATGTCACATATGTCATATGACATGTCACATATGACATATGACATGTCACATATGTCATATGACATGTCACATATGACATGTCACATATGTCATATGACATGTCACATATGTCATATCACATGTCACAAGACATGTCACATATGTCATATGACATGTCACATATGTTATATGACATACGTGACATGACATATGTCTTATGACATGTCACATATGTCATATGACATGTCACATATGTCATATGACATGTCACATATGTCATATGACATGTCACATATGTCATATGACATGTCACATATGTCGATGACATATCACATATGTCTATGACATATCACATATGTTATATGACATGTCACATATATCATATGACATGTCACATATATCATATGACATATGACATGTCACATATGTCATATGACATGTCGCATATGTCATATGACATGTCACATATGTCATATGACATGGCGCATACGTCATATGACATGTCGCATATGTCATATGACATGTCGCATATGTCATATGACATGTCACATTTGTCATATGACATGTCACATATGTCATATGACATGTCACATATGTCATATGACATGTCACATATGCAGAGTGCTGTGTGAACGATTGAAGCCAATGGCCAATGCCATTATTGGACCATACCAATGCGGCTTCAGACCTGACAAATCCACCATTGACCAGATTTTCACTCTGCGCCAAATCCTGTAAAAGACCCACGAAAAACACATCGACACATACCACCTTTTCCTCAACAATAAAGCCGCATTTGGCAGTCCTATCCGTTCAGAGGTGTTTAAAGCCATGTCTACATTCGAAAAAGCCATGTCATCTTGCAAAATCAATACGGCTGTGCAGGATAACTTTAAGTGTCCCAAGGTCAGCAGTTAAAGTAGGAAAGGACCTATCGTAGCCCTTGAATACCGAACGAGGATTCAGACAAGGTGACAGTTTGTCGTGTGATCTCTTTAACATCCTGTTGGAAAAGGTCATAAACGTGAAGAGAAATGGCACTCTGTACACCAAACAACACATGTTACTCGCCTACGCCGATGACATCGATATAATGGGTCGAACAATTGAACAAATTGAGAAGGAGTCTGGCAAAATGGGTCTGGCAGTAAACGGCGTGAAGACCAAGCTGATTATATCAACGAGCTAGACGTCCAGTAGACTCGGACCAACTGTGGAACTTGAGAACTAATGCTTTGAGGTAGTTAAAGATTTTATATACCTTGGTACCGCCGTAAAAAAGAATGAATGACATCAGTTTTTAAATTCGAAAAAGGATTGTGATGTCCAACAGATGCTACTATGGTCTAAGTAAGCAGTTTAGAAACAAGGCCAACTCCCGCCAGACCAAACTCTCACTTTACAAGACGCTGACACTACCCGTGCTGTTATATGGATCTGAAGCATGGGTACTTACGCAATCAGATGAGGCAGCTCTTAGGGTGTTTGAAAGAAAAATTCTTCGAAAGATCTACGGGCCGATCTGCGTCGACGGTGAATATAAGCGTCGAATGAACCACGAGCTTTACAATTTATACGCGGACATCGACATTGTCAGTCGTATTGAGTTGTAGCGACTACGATGGCTAGGCCATGTTCTGCGAATGAATGAGAATGCCCCAGCATATAAAAGCGAGCATACTGATGGTTCCCGTAGAAGGGAAAGGCCACGAATCAGATGGAAAGACCAAGTAGAAAACAACATCTTTGGAACGTGGTATTTCAAATTGGAGGAGATATGCACAAGACCGACGCGCTTGGAAATCTTGTTCAAGTTCGGCTTATGGAACAACCGTTCTGTAAAAAGTCTGCTAAGTAAGTAAGGTAGTAAGTAAATATTTTTAAACTGACTTTATATTATTGACAAAACGAAGAGTTGTGGATTTTAAGACAGTATTTTGGCAGATCTATCCTGCTCAGAGGCGTAGATTTTAAGACTAATTTTTGACATGACTAAGGGACTCACATGTGAACATTTTTAAGCATATTTTTTTGTTCTCTTTTAGAGAAGGACTGAACAACTTTTATATTCCGAAGAAAAGAGTTTTAGTATAAGAAGCGTGAAGTTTTATACAAATTCGAATTTCTGGCTGTTGCCGGTCAACTGCCTATTAAATTGGACATTCGAGGGCAGTTCGGAAACTTCTTAGCCTAGCACAAAAAGGGCGGTATAAACAAAAAAAGTTAAGTGTTTTGGAAACTTTCATCTCATGTTAAATTTTGTTTCGTTCTGGCCTTCATTTAGAAACAAATGTTCAATAAAGACGCATTCGCAATTTTTTTACAATGGAAAAATTAGAAATACGTGCTTTCATGTATGGCCCATGCTGTCGCCTTTGTTGGAAAGTTTTGTCTTACTATGGGTATTAGGGCAGTATACAAAATACCAAATAGGCGAGAACTGCAAACATTTTTTCATTCTCTAAGAACCCCGAATGCCTGATTACTCCCACTTCGGAATATATAATTATCTAAAATGAGATTAATTGGTGAATATCGATTCAGATTTGGATATAACATCCACACATTACTTGTTCCGATTTCATATTTTGTTACACGGTGCTGCATTGTTTCAACGTTCAAATTTGTATAAGAATTTTTAGAAAAGTTCACAATATGACGTATTCGGATTGATAAACAAATGTATATGGTTGTCAATGTTCATGTTTTCAAATATAATTATTAATCGGGCGCCACACATCATAGATAAATGTTGTAGACATACCCCCTACCTGTCATACAGCTGGTGTATTCTGCAAAGCTTTTGCGAGAAAGCTTTTTCCATGTTCAATGTTCGATACTGTTTTGCGAAAAAATACTCAAAATTTAGTCAGTATTAAATAGTGGACGGCGAAGAGAATTACTTACGATATTAGCGGTGAAATACACAATATTTAAACGATCGGAAATTAGCAAACCAAAATCAACACAAAACGAACATGTTGAAAACAAAAAATCAAATAATGGCTTTAAATCGTTTGCGATATAGTGATAAAATTGTTTGGAACACATTCCCAGCTCTTCTGCAACAGGTATATTTAATAAACTCGACGTTTTTAAATATGTTTACAATAATTAATTATTCTTTTTTTTACAGTTGCGTAGCCAATCGACAACATCTGCCGCCTTAGAATGGGAACAGGCGAAACCATTGAGTGAAATGCCCACAATTAGCCCCTTGAAACTTTTGCGTCATTTTTTGCCGGGTGGTAAATATGCCAACAAAGATTCCACCCAATTGATGACAGCCTTTAGCAACGATTTTGGTCCTATTGTATTCTTTCACGGTAGTCTGGGAAAACCCGATGCTGTTATGACTAGCAATCCTCACGATTTTGAAAAAGTCCTGCACAATCAAGGCACCTGGCCAATGCGACCGGGCATGGACTATTTGAGCTATCATCGTCAGGTGCATCGCAAAGATATCTTTCAAGGCGTGGAGGGTCTTTTGGGATCGTAAGTATATTGGATGTATTATTGGGAATATAAATGATATTATACCAAGTCGGCGAATTGACTTGTATTTTAAGAGAAAGCAGTATGTAGCAGAAAAATGGGTTGCATTTGTGGGGCAAGAAGTCTCTTACCCAAAAAGATTGGCAATCTAGATTAAGATTTTAGTATAGACCAAACTTTTTGTGGTACGACCAGATAAAGATTATTATAATGTTTTCAATAATTACTCACGATATGTTCTATTTATTGTTATTTTTTTATTTTTAAACAATGTCTGACGAAATTAAAGACATTTCTTTATCGAAAGACATACCATTATTGAAAATTGATTGTCAATGTCAAGCAATTTTTTTTTATCAATAAATGTTTGGCGATAACATGAAACCAAGCACTCAATGAAAATCAGGTTAATTTAAACAAGCAATAACATATGTATGTATAACGTACACTCTAAATATAGTTATATATTCAAAAAGTAAACATTGGATTAAAATCGATCGTACCGAACATGAACAGTTTGGAATTCCAGAAACCGTAATGAAGAAAAAGTAGTATATCTTTGCATACGGCTCCAGGTCATTTTTATATCCTCAACTTTTTGAGGGTACGTTAAGAAGTGCCTCATCGAAATATTGGGTTTAAACCCTAGGTTTCTTTGGACCAAATCCGTTTCAGAAAATTTAGAGTCGATTTACAAATGTTCGTCCGTTGTCCGTCTGTCTGGCCGGCTGGTGCGCACAATAACTCTCGAAGTTATAATCGATTTCATCCAAACTTTGCACATATTATTATTTCTTCCAAACTTGGTACAAGTTCGAAGATGGGGAATATCGGTCCACTCCTTCTGGTACCTCCCCCACATAACGGTCAAAATTGCGCAAATAATTAATTTCATAATATCATGCGAACGGACTATCCGATTTGAACCAAGCTTTGTACAACCTGTCTAGATGAAGTAGGAACATGGGACCCATTGGTCCCCTCTTTCTGGTACCTCCCCACAAAGGGTCAGCATTTTCAATATTTATATATCCGATAACAGGCAAATAGAAAGTTTCATTTAAACTATACTTTGCACAAACTATTATCTTTACGAAGTTTAGATCAAGTCCGAAATTGGGACGCGTCTGCCTTCTCCTCTAGTACCACCCCCAAAAAAGGGGCAACATTATACAATATTGTAAATTATATAAAACGAAAAATAAAACCTGTGTGTAACTCCGAAGAGCTTCTCCGCAGGGTATATATCTGTCGGTAACGCCAACTGACACTTTTTTACTTGTTGAGATAATAACCTGGAATAGTCGTATTGTTCGTTATTATTTTTTGAACCGGAAACTAAGTAAAAGGTGATTTTTTTTATCACAAAATCTTCTACGAAAATATTGTTCATAAGTTTATCGATATTGATATGTTTTCATCCTCACATTAAATAAATTATGTGCTTAAGATTCAACTAAATCCGAAGATAGAAAAATAGAACCGTTATTATTTCTACCTTGTATAATTATGCCAGGCTAATACATAAAGTGTCAAAATCTAGAATATTTATAAATCCAATATTAGGCTAATGAATTGTCCTATCGTAATATATTTTCAAACTCAAATCATGTTCAGAGATGGAGAAAATCGGTCCACTCGTTCTGTAACCTCCCCATAAAGGGTAATAATTTTTTAATAAATAATAATCGGATTTGATATAAAATGTGCACATCGTAATGTCAGTCCACTGCTTCTGGTACCTCCCACATAAAATAGTCAATATTTGTTGAAAAATTATTTTAACGGACTAACCGATAACTAACTTACCGAACGGACTAACCGATTTGAACATTGAAAATTTGCACAACCTAATATTAGGTTGGGGAAAAAGAGATCTACTAAGCCGTCGTCGAAAATGTCGATAAAATCGGAGATATGATTGAAGTTGACCTGTATGTTAGCAGTCGTAACATCGCCCAGGAGCTTAAAATCGACCATGAAACTGTTTTAAACCATTTACACAAAGCTGGATTAAAAAAGAAGCTCGATGTATGGGTGCTACACCAATTAACAGAAAAAATTAGGATGGATCGAATTTCCATCTGTGAAGCCAAACGGAATGAGATAGACCCATTTCTTAAACGGATGGTGACTGGAGATGAGAAATGGAACATATACGATAACCCAGTGCGAAAACGATAGTGGTCAAAGAGCGGTGAAGCACCTCAAACGGTGGCCAAATCAGAACTAACGGCCAGGAAGGTTATCCTATGCATTTGGTGGGACTGGAAGGGGATTATTTATTATGAGTTGCTTCCATATGGCCAAATGCTAAATTCTGATCTCTACTGTCAACAACTGAACCGTTGTTAGAGGTGTCGTGTTCCACCAGGACTACAAATATACAGCAGGACTTCTATGAGAGAGGCATTATGATGTTACCTTTAAATTGGCAACACATGATATAATAAAACTTCCAAAATCGAACATTTGGAAGCAGGTTAAAAAGTTCTATAGTTCATATAAAAGAAATGGATTTATTTGTCACCAACCTAATATTATAACCATGGCTGTATACTGTTGAATGATGGGACTTATCGGCTCACTCCTCTAGTACATCTCCCACAAAGAAACGAATGGAATATCCAATTCCATCAAAATAGTGCACAACGTTTTTTGTTTACCTTGCCAAGATTATGTCCGAAAATGGAGACCGATGGTCCATTCTTTTTGGTACCTCCAATACAAAATATTGCTGAAAATATATTTTTTAATATCACGCGAACGGACTGTCCGTTTTGAGCAAAACTTGGCATAACCTAATATTATAACAATGGATGGGTCTTATCGGTCCTTCTAGTACTTCCCCCACAAAAGGTAAAGTTTTTTCAAACTTGTACATGTCTGGACACGTTTGTCAAACGAATTTGTTCTACTTTGATTTTGCAAGTTATCCTTCCTACTAAAAGTTTAAGTTTTGGAAGGCTTTAGCCGCATTTTTCAATCGATGTTTCCTGGTGAATAAAAAAATTATTTCCAGAAATTATTCAATATTGGTTAATGTTTTACAATAGCCCCCATACATTATGTGGGACATAGTTTTCATTATGTTATAGTTCCTATCCCAGTTTTTCAACCTGGGACTCTGGAATTTCGAATTTTTTTTAGACAATGAAAATTTCCGATCCATTTAAGGAGTTCTGAATCTACACCGAACAAGAGCTATGTACTTATAGAAATTGATAAAATATTCAAACGTAAAATGCAAATTAGAGATTTGATCAAAAAAGATCCCCGGAGTTAGTCTTGGACAATCTCGTTCAGTTCAGTGATCGAACGAACTAGATCATTTTGAACTAGGTCGTTCACCACGTTCAGTTGCTTATATCGTTCATATGGTTACTTAGTTCCATTGTCATGGCAGAGTATTCCAATTAAGTTCTGGCAGTTCAAACAACCGTAAAAAATGATTACCTTTCCAAATCATTCGAAGGACTTTCCTATCTGCGGTTCGGAACGTTCTTAGCCTAGCACAAAAAAAAAAAAACAATGAAAGCGCGCATTTCTAATTTTTCATTTGTAAACAATTGTGGATGTGTATTTTTTGAACACTATATATGAAGGAGTTGCCAGATCGTCCATTCCTCCTTGATCACAAATGGTCACAATTTTGAAAAATAAAAAAATGTCAAGAAATGGTTCTCCAATTCTGTCGAACTAATAACAAAAAATAGCCCATACACTTTCTAACTAGCTGTATGTCTATTTCATAGGCCAAATGAAATGGATTTATTTGTCACCAACCTAATATTATAACCATGGCTGTATACTGTTGAATGATGGGACTTATCGGCTCACTCCTCTAGTACATCTCCCACAAAGAAACGAATGGAATATCCAATTCCATCAAAATAGTGCACAACGTTTTTTGTTTACCTTGCCAAGATTATGTCCGAAAATGGAGACCGATGGTCCATTCTTTTTGGTACCTCCAATACAAAATATTGCTGAAAATATATTTTTTAATATCACGCGAACGGACTGTCCGTTTTGAGCAAAACTTGGCATAACCTAATATTATAACAATGGATGGGTCTTATCGGTCCTTCTAGTACTTCCCCCACAAAAGGTAAAGTTTTTTCAAACTTGTACATGTCTGGACACGTTTGTCAAACGAATTTGTTCTACTTTGATTTTGCAAGTTATCCTTCCTACTAAAAGTTTAAGTTTTGGAAGGCTTTAGCCGCATTTTTCAATCGATGTTTCCTGGTGAATAAAAATATTCTTTCCAGAAATTATTCAATATTGGTTAATGTTTTACAATAGCCCCCATACATTATGTGGGACATAGTTTTCATTATGTTATAGTTCCTATCCCAGTTTTTCAACCTGGGACTCTGGAATTTCGAATTTTTTTTAGACAATGAAAATTTCCGATCCATTTAAGGAGTTCTGAATCTACACCGAACAAGAGCTATGTACTTATAGAAATTGATAAAATATTCAAACGTAAAATGCAAATTAGAGATTTGATCAAAAAAGATCCCAGGAGTTAGTCTTGGGCAATCTCGTTCAGTTCAGTGATCGAACGAACTAGATCATTTTGAACTAGTTCGTTCAGCACGTTCAGTTGCTTATATCGTTCATATGGTTACTTAGTTCCATTGTCATGGCAGAATATTCCAATTAAGTTCTGGCAGTTCAAACAACCGTAAAAAATGATTACCTTTCCAAAATGGTCACAATTAGCCTAGCACAAAAAAAAAAACAATGAAAGCGCGCATTTCTAATTTTTCATTTGTAAACAATTGTGGATGTGTATTTTTTGAACACTATATATGAAGGAGTTCTCGTCCATTCCTCCTTGATCGCAAATGGTCACAATTTTGAAAAATAAAAAAATGTTAAGAAATGGTTCTCCAATTCCGTCGAACTAATAACAACAAAATAGTATAGCCATGATACTTTCTAACTAGTTGTATGTCTATTTCATAGGCCAAATGAAATTTTTGTAATCTATATCTTTAAATTTTTTAGGCAAGGTGAAGCTTGGGGCTCTTTCAGATCAGCTGTAAATCCCGTGTTAATGCAACCCAAGAATGTACAATTGTATTTCAATAAAATGTCACAGGTCAATAAGGAGTTTATGGAAAGGTAAGTAAATCCTACCACCAAATTTTCCACATGAAAATCGAAAATTATATCCAACCCTCTAAAACAGAATTCGTAAAATTCGTGATCCCGAAACGCTGGAAGTACCCGATAATTTTGAAGAAGAAATTAATCGTTGGACTTTGGAATCGGTATCAGTGGTAGCATTGGATAAACAATTGGGCTTAATTACGAAAAATCGTGATGATCCAACTCCGAAACGATTATTTAAAGCCCTAACAGATTTCTTTCAAGCATCGGGGGATTTAGAATTTCAGCCATCCATATGGAAATACATAAAAACACCAACATTTAAAAAGGCCATCAGAAGTTTAGATGAAATTACCGATATTACAAAAATGTATGTTGATGAGGCCTTCGAAAGGATTGCCGAGGAGAATAAAAATCGCAAAGAGGAAAAACCTGAAAGTGAGAAAAGTGTTTTGGAAAAGCTCATCAAAATTGACAAACAAATTGCCATGGTCATGGCCATGGATATGTTAATGGCTGGTGTGGATACGGTAAGAAGAACATTTTGAAATTTAATGAAATTCTTTATTTATTTGAATTGTATTTTCCTTGCAGACTTCATCCACCTTTACCGGTCTCTTATTGTGCTTGGCCAAAAATCCCGAAAAGCAAGCAAAACTACGCGAAGAAGTCATGAAATTACTGCCCGAAAAAGATTCCGAATTCAATGAAGCCGTTTTCAAAAATATGCCCTATTTGCGTGCCTGCATCAAGGAATCTTTGCGTGTCTATCCCTTAACGGTGGGCAATGCCCGTGCCTTGGGTAATGATGCGGTAATAAGTGGTTATCGTGTACCCAAGGGCACATTGGTCTCCATGAATTCGGTAATTCTCATTAAAGACGATCAACATTATCCTCGTGCTGGGGAATATTTACCAGAAAGGTGGTTGCGGGAATCAAAGGATAATAGTGAAAAATCTACCGAATGTCCTCATGCCTTGAAGGCCAGTACTCCTTTCAATTATTTACCATTTGGTTTTGGTTCACGCAGCTGTATTGGTCGTCGTATTGCCGAAATGGAAATGGAATTGGGTATTGCTCGATTGATACGCAACTTCCATGTGGAATTTAATAATTCGACGGAGAATGCCTTTAAGAGTTATTTGATAAATGTTCCCAATATTCCATTGAAATTTAAATTTACCGATGTTAGTAATTGAGGAAAACAGATGATGGAAAATGTGTATTTATGTGTGTATAATGTGTTTAAGAAAAATATTTATTATTCAGTATTTATGACCTTTAAATAATTGTAAAATCCCAAAAAAATCAGTGTAAATATATAAAGAAGTGTTCAGATCAAAAATTAAAAATTTTTATGAATGTTAGGAATAGAGCACAGGATTTGAAATTTGGTAATCGATCGTACCAAATTTAGTACATTTGGTATTGAGCGAGAGAAAAGTGGTACAATATCAAAATTTGGTATGGGGGTTGTTAAGGTAATCGTACCAAACATATTACCGTACTAAGTACTATATTGTACTCAAATTTGTACTGTTTAATTTAAAAATTTTAATTCGACTATGAGAGTTGAGGAGATGAACAATTTTGAGATAGAATCCGACATCAACCGACTCTACAGTTGACTGCGAATAAAGGTATTGTACTATGCAACAAAACGGTCGGATTTCTGGAAAAATATATTTGGAAAACATTGGCCTTGGCGATTATGATAAGAACTAAATTCACGAATTGTAATGATTTCGAGTTATGGTGTGATAACTTTTTGCTGGGTTTTATCAAAGTTTGCAGCTATTGCATATTATTATACTATCTACCAGAAGGTGTACTGCATATTAAAACCATTGAGCGGAGCAGTATAGTCGGACGATATGACGATATGTCGGACTGAATTCTAACACTCTGCTGATCTGTAATGCCCAAGCTTGGCAATATTTTGCTATAATCGTATTTGCACCCTTTTGGTAGATTACCCTTCAACACAAAAATGTGTATTCATTTGCCCCGTCAATATTGAACATTCATTACCAAGACAGTCATTTGAACTAGTCAGATCGCCTTCCCCATTTAAAATTTTTGATTTTCGACTGGTAATAGCAACGTCTAGAGCGTTTCTGAGATGGAGCTTTGAAATTGGCTCCACTTTGACATTATGGAATCCAATTGAGTAGGAAATCTCCCTGGTAAAAATATCCATGTTTCGGGGTAGCCCCAATGAGCGGGACGGGGTTTCAATAGAATTAACTGTAATTTGATATTTTGGGTTTGTAGAGCTCCATGCAATCCCATTTAAGGTTTTTTGAAGGTTCTTGTTTTCCGTATGTTACGTTTTCTAAACCAGTATTCCAACCTAAGTGCCTGATATTCGGTATTTGAATTTTTCAGAACATAAAAAACTACTAAATGGGCAATTTGGTCCGACTAATCGCGTTACATACAAGACAAAAATGTACCAAATCGAAATAAATAGCTTGAGCCAAATCCGTTTCACACAATTTGTAATCAATATACAAATTTCCGAAATGGTACCGAATATTTTACAATTTGTTTTTGTGCGAACGGATAGAGATGGAATCCTAAAATTTGGGATTAGAACTAGCATTCGAATGTATGATTGAGACATGGAGGTAGTTTTGAATGCTAAAGTTGCTACAATTTACATTTGGCGGATAGGATTCAGTTGGAATCCTGAAATTTGGAAATTAGATTATTCTTGTGGAGTAGAATTGATTCGTATCTTCGGGCACCAAAAGTGATAAATAGTACAAAATATTGTACAATTTGGATTTGTGTGAATGGATAGCAATGTCATCCTGAACATTGAATTAATTCATAATTGTGTTTACTAAATGGTATTAAATATTGTACAATATGGATCTATGTGAACGGAATGGGCTGGGATCCTAAAATATATGATTAAAACCAGTGAGCGGAGCAGTATAGTCGGACGGGGCCGACCATATAATACCCTACACACAACTTCTAACACACAAAATCTAACTTTGCGTTATTTGCACCCTCTTCAAACCTGACAACATATATTACTAATATTCAGTAGACGAGGGCTGTACTTGTCCAGATTCTCTTTACCGTGGGCTTTGTTGTTATGTAATGTTGGGCTTTCAATTGTGGCCTATAGATCGACTAAAAAAAACACACACAAAATGTTAAGTTTTCGGTCCACTTCATCCCAAAATTATTATCTGATCATCACCGAAAGTTATAGGCGTTGTCCTTGACCATAACTGGAATCTCATGGAAATTTTCAAAGCGATTAGCGCTATATTTCCGGCCTCTAGTGTGGTTTTGGGTTACTAAATAATGTCTGAATACGTAAGCACCTGTAAATATTTAAGTGTATCTCCCACATATGAGTACATACGACCATATAATTGGTATCAATTTAAAGGTCAACCACTCCTCTTGAACATACTATCAACTTTTTGGGTCTAGGTCCTTCAGGGGCAAATATGTACGCCATAGAATACAAATTTTGTCATTTATCACACAAAAGTTAGGGTCCATTTGACCCGCTAAATATTGATCGATCTTTATCAAAACGGGCATGCTTATTCTTTGGCCCGATCCCCTTCTCCATGCAAAAATTCGCGGTGTTTGAGCAAAAATTTCGGCCTCTGGAGCGACAAGAAAATCAGACAAAAATAAAGTTTTTGGTCCATTTCATCCCCTAATTATTAATCGATCTTTTCCAAAAACAAACAAAACCCATTCTACATGCAAAATATCGTGAAGATTGGTCCATAATTGTGGCCTGTATCGTGTTTACAAATTATAGTGGACAGACGGACGGGCACACATGTCTAGATTGACTCAGCTAGTCGAGATATGACGATCGGTATACTTAAAGGTGGGTCTAGCACCAATATTTCGCGGCGTTACAAAATTTTGGGGCTGCACAAAGCTATAATACCCTGACAACATAGTTGTGTAGGGTATAATTACTGTTGGAGTGTAGGATTGCGGATGTTTTCAAAAGATGTACATATGTGTACGAAAGTTAATAAGTGGTACTAAAATTGGTACAATTTGGATTTTGGTGAACGGATAGAGCTGTAATCTTTAAATTTAGAATTAAGATTATTATTGGAGTGTAGTTGTGTAAATTCGTGTTTATGGATACGAAAAGTACTAAATTTGGTACAATTTGGACATTGGTGAACGCCTAGAACTGAAATCGAAGTTCTGGGAATTCTTAAATTTGAACTTACGTTTACAATCTGAATGCATTATTGTGGTAGTTTTGGAAATTCGTACTTATAAGTACGAAAAGTACTAAATTGTATTATACTTGATATTAGATGTAGGAATAAATGTGGAATTCGGAATTACAGTTCAATAAATTATACAGTATTATTTATTTATTTGTTTTGTATTCCCTTTCCGCATACGAAGTTGCTGGCACTTCGCCATATAGGGCCACGTATATTATAGCTCATAACATATTACCGCCCCATTTTCCGCATTACTATATGTTTAACCATATTTTATCATCGTAATATCTCGATTAATTTTCGGTATGATGAAGTTCATACCCACTGGTTGGAAAACTGGGGTACGAACATGAAACGTTATTTTTTTCAGAGCATGGACAATCATCTAGCACATAATGCAAAAACATAACCCTATGTAAAGTTCGGCCCGGAAAACTATTCACTCATAAGCAAAATTTTTAGTTGTCTTTGAACCCACAATTGAGCCCACTGTGTTCTCAGCAAATAATTAACCTATGTATTATATGTTTGTAAATATATTTTCTAGTTTTCTGTTTTCATTCACATCTTCGTAATATAAACAAATACAAATAAATGGTGAGAAAAATACAAAAAATAACGCAAATTAAAATTGAGCTTTTTTTTTTTGTTAAAAAAGCTTCTGGGAATATATTGTTATCAGTTAGCGAAACACTCAATCAAAGCACGATTATTATCGTGCTAGCGATTAGCAATCTCATAGCTCAGTGAGACCCCCGCGGTCTATCTATTCTATGATAATGGTGACAATGTTTGCATGCTTTGTTTAGATATATACGAGGTGTGTATAGTAATGAATGCTGAATGGATAATAAAAACGTTAAGAAGAACAACTATGAAACGTCGATAAGTTCGGCTGTTTCAACTTTTTATACCCTCTACCATGAGGTGTACATTTAATTCACACAAAAAAGTGTCCAAATAAATAATGATATATGCTAAAAATCATATTGATCATAAATAGTAAGGAGATTTGCTATCCAATATGAGCTCAAAGTTTCAAACTGCAGTCAATTCCGGTAAAAAACTAGCCAAATGTTCCCAAATACTGTACCTATGTAGAAAATGTTTCTTTCTCCGACAATGGGAATCTTAAGGCCGAAGCAGATCTTTTACTCAAATGGAAAAATTAGTGTTCATTTCCAATTATAAAAAAATTAAATTTTTTTCTTTGACTTTTCAGATGAACCTCTTACATGCAAATCATTAAAAAAGCTCTGTTGATGATCTAGCTAGCGTTTGAAAACGATGAGTAGTTTTTTTTTTGCGATCAGTTAGTCGCAAAACTGTTGTGGAAGAAGTGAAGTGATATTTGAAAAAACAGACAAAACAGCAATGTTAAAAACAAATATTTGCCAAATCACCAGAAAGAATAATTTAAATGTTCAAAAATGCGTTCTAAAAAATTTCACTCCAGCCCTACAACAAGTGAGAAACACAAAAAAAAAAAAATCAAAATTAATAAAAACAAAAAAAAAAATCTCAATTAAATTAATAAAAATCAATTATTCCAGTGGCGTAGTCGTTCAACAATTGCCGCCACAGCTGAAGAGATAAATACTACGTCAAACAATGCCGTCAACAGTCAAGTGGAATGGGAACAGGCGAAACCATTTGATGAAATGCCCACAATGAGTACATTCCAATTCTTGAAGAATTTTCTACCGGGTGGAAAATATGCCAAATTGGATTCATCACAAATGATGTTGGCTTTGAAGGAGGATATGGGTCCAATTGGCCGCATCAAAGTTTCGCCGGGCAAACCTTTCACGGTGTTCACACATAATCCCCAAGATTTTGAAATGGCTTTACGCAATGAAGGTATTTGGCCAGTACGTCCTGGTTCTGAGGCTATGTACTATCATCGTAATGTACATCGTGCTGAAATCTTTCAGGGTGTTGAGGGTCTAATCGGAACGTAAGTGTGGCTTTTTTGTTGTGTTATTTATTTAGTGAATTAATATTTGTTTGTTTTTTTATTTTTGTATACCCACGCGTCAAATTTAAATACAATGAAACGTAATTGATATAAAATATGTCAAGTCATTTTTGTTAGTTGTTGAGATGTGATAATCAGTAGATACTTATAGGTTCTTTTTTTTAATGATATTGTACTGTGATAAAATTTTTTATTCACATTTTAAATTGAAAAGATAAACAAACAAAATTGTTAATATTTTTTCATTTTTTTGTCCTAAATTGACGACTATATATTCGGTATATATATATATTATATATACCGATTTCTCTTGTTCAGTGACTTATACTAAAATTTGATGGAGAATATTTTTGTCCTGTATATTATCTTTCTAACGACATCTAGTGGGAACAATTGCTACAAACCCGAAATAAGATTGGTTTTAACCTTTAACATTTGTTGTCCTAAATTGACGACTATATATTCGGTATATATATTATATATACCGATTTCTCTTGTTCAGTGACTTATACTAAAATTTGATGGAGAATATTTTTATCCTTCATACCACCCATCTAAAGCGAAATCTAGTGGGAACAATTGGTGCAAACTCAGAATAAGATCGGTTTTAATCTTCAATGTTTTTTGTCCTAACTTGACGACTATATAAAATTCGATGGAGAATATTTTCATTCATTATACCATCCTTCTAAAACGACATCTAGTGGGAGCAATTGGTACAAACTCGGAATATGATCGGATTTAACCTTATTTTTTTGTCCTAAATTGACGTTTATGTATTCGGTAACTATATTATATATCTCAATATCTCTTATTCAGTGACTTATACTAAAATGTGATGGAGAATATTTTTGCTCTTTATACCATCCTTTTAAAACGACATCTAGTGGGAAAATTGGTACAAACTATATATATATACTATATATATATATTACGTATATACTGATTTCTCTTGTTTAGTGACTAATGCTGAAATTTGATGCAGAATATTTTTGTCCATTAGACCATACTTCTAAAACGACATCTAGTGGTACAAACTCGGAATAAGATTGGTTTTAACCTTCAACACTTTTTTGTCCTAAATTGACGTCTATATATTCCGTACATATATTGTATATACCGATTTCTATTATTCAGTGACTTGTACTAAAATTTGATGGATAATATTTTTGTCCAGTATACCATCCTTCTAAAACGACATCTAGTGGGGAAAATTGGTACAATATTAGAATAAGATCGGAGTTTTAACCCTAAAATGAGTTTTCATATTTTTTAGGATTTTTGCGATTAGACTGATTACCGAGTTTTGGTCTATTCTGAGACTTATAGTAAAACTCTATGGGAGACCCAATAAAACAAATATATATTTTGATCGGTTTACCTATGACCGCCTGTATGTTAGAGTTCTGAAATTTTGCATCTAAATTGCTTCCACTTTTCTAGGATTTTTGGTATTGAAAATGGAATATATCGGTAAACGTTTTGATATAGCCCCCACATAATGGCATCGCTCTATTTTCGGTACTCTAAACGGGCAGTAATTTTGAAACTCCGACATATAAGGTCCCAACGTAATGTTGGTTTTTGGTCGCAATATATCTTTTGAATTATCGATGCAATAACTAGATTTTGATTATTTAAGGCTCACATTGTGTATCTTTACAGACAAGGCGAAAAATGGGGCACATTCCGATCGACTGTAAATCCAGTTCTAATGCAACCCAAGAATGTACGCCTATACTTCCAGAAAATGTCTCAGGTCAATAAGGAATTTATGGAAAGGTAAGATCACCAAACGAAAATACCACAAAATTCAGTAAAATATAAAAAATCTCCTAATTTCAGAATTCGACAAATTCGTGATCCCAAAACATTGGAAGTTCCCTCCACATTCGAAGAAGAAATCAATCGTTGGACCCTGGAGTCGGTGTCTGTCGTAGCATTGGACAAACAGTTGGGGTTGATTAGTAAAAATCGTGATAATCCCACAGCGAAACGTATGTTCCAGGCCCTAACCGATTTCTTTACCTATTCTCTGGAAATTGAATTTAAGCCATCGATATGGAAATACTACAAGACTCCGACATTTAAAAAGCTAATGAAAAGTTTAGATGAAATAACGGATATTACAAAGGGTTTTGTGGAGGAGGCCATCGATCGGCTGGAGGAGGAACGTAAAAATGGAGTACCTGAAAAGCCGGACAATGAGAAAAGTGTTTTGGAGAAACTGATTAAAATCGATAAGAAAATTGCCATGGTTATGGCCATGGATATGTTGATGGCTGGGGTGGATACGGTAAGTATCAAAATAAAAATAATTATATTAATTAACGAAAATTATTTTAAAAATATCCTTACAGACTTCAACCACCTTTACCGGGTTGCTTTTGTGTCTGGCCAAGAATCCCGAGAAACAAGAAAAGTTACGCGAGGAAGTTAGGAGACTCTTACCCCACAAAGATTCCGAATTCAATGAAGCTGTATTGAAAAACATGCCCTATTTACGGGCTTGCATAAAAGAGTCATTGAGAGTATATCCTTTGGCAATTGGTAATGCCAGAGAACCCATAAATGATGTTGTGCTGAGTGGTTATCGTGTACCCAAAGGAACACAAGTATCAATGATATCTACCTCCCTACTAAATGATGATAATCATTATCCCAGAGCTAAAGAATATTTGCCAGAACGTTGGCTACGACCTTCCAAGGAGACTGAGGGTACTGCAGAATGTCCCCATGCATTGAAGGCTAGCAGTCCATTTATTTATTTACCATTTGGTTTTGGTTCACGCAGCTGTATTGGTCGTCGTATTGTTGAAATGGAACTGGAATTGGGTATTGCTCGTTTGATTCGTAATTTCCATGTGGAATTTAATTATTCCACTGAGAACGCTTTTAAGAGTTTGCTGATTAATGTTCCCAATATTCCATTGAAATTTAAATTTACTGATGTTAGTGATTAGGAAAAACATTATTTACTAGGAGTTCGACTCCAAATGTAAATAATGCTAAATAGTTTATATATATTGTCAGTGTAGTCTAGTGAATTGAAATGTATGTGTATACGTCACAAAATGTAAATAATCCCAAATGAAATCCTTTCAACAAATAATCTTAAAAACTCAAGCTTAAAAAAAAAAATATTAAATAAATTATTATTATATGTTCTGCAGGCCATGTACCAGAGGTTGGTATTTAAAATTCTTTAAATTGTTATTCACTAGGAATCCGGAGTGCTAAATTGCAACCACTTCCAGGAGAAAATACAACTAAAACCTTCAGAATACCGAAAATTGTGCGGGACATATAGGAAACTACGTATGAATTAAAAAAATCTACAAATTTTTAATGTACAAGAACCCGGAATGCCAAATATATCCAATGGCGATATATCCAATTTCAAAAAGTAGGAGTAATAGCAATATATATCCATATATTTCAACAGACAGACGTAATTTAATGAACCCTGGCTTATCGGTCCTTAAAAAAATAAATTTAAAAATATTCCCGCTTATTGGTAGGTAGTTCCTTTAAAAATTATCCGTAGGTCTGTGAAAAAATTTGCCTGTATTGCATGTATTGGTCTGTAAGACCTTGAAAAAATAAGTTAAAAAAATCTACGTTTATTGGTCTGTGGGCCCATGAAAAATAATTAAAAAACCGTTTATTGGTCTGTAGGTCCTCGAAAAAATAATTTTAAAATTCCACGCTTATTGGTCTGTAGGTCCCGAAAAAATAATTTAAAAATATCGACGTTAATTAGCCTGTAGGTCCCGAAGAGAGTAATAACAAAAATCTTTTAAAAAAATTAACGGTTATTGGCCTGTAGGTCCCTGAAAAGATAATTTGAAAAATCCACGCTAATTAATCCGTAGGTCCTTGAAAAAATGATTTCAAACGATCAAGACTTATTGAAAAAACCTAAGGGCAAAATTCAAATAATAAAAAAAAAACAATTTAACAAATCCAAACACTTTAAACAGAAATCAGGATTGGTCTGTAGTTCTATGAAATAATATTTTAAAAAGTCCAAAAATCCGTAGGTCTATGAACAAATATTAAAAAAAAACAAACTTATTAATTCGTTGGTCCTTAAAAATAAATTTACAAATGCCAGGCTTATTGGTCTTTTGGGCTTGAAAACATAATTAAAAAAAATCCACGCTTATTGTTAAACTCACTGTTCTCACTGGTCCTTCAAAAAATATTTAAAAACACCGGTTGTTGGTCTGTAGGTCCTTGAAAAAAAAGCAATTTAAAAACCCTCGGTTGTTCATTAATTAAAAAATTCTAGCTTATTTGCCTGATTGTTCATGAAAAATAGACCTATGGACCTAAATGAAAAATGGTCTGCAAAAACTTTTTTCACTTTCAAGAAACCCGGAATGATAAACATACAATTACTTTTTACCATCAAAGAGACCAAAACCTTAAAAATACCGAAAAATGGGGATATGTCAAATTACAGAGCTTTCGGTTGGAAATGCGGATAAAATTTTCAAAATACCGAAATATTAAACATTTTCTACATACCTTTACATTTACCTTCTACGAACTCGGATTTGGATAAACCATTCACATACCCCCAAATAGGGTGGTGCTATAGGTCCATGTTGACTCTACAATATTGACCATTCATTCAAAAGTGTCAATCTCTATTCGAAATCTTGCAATAGCCAGACGATAATAAATATAAAATTTTTTTCTTATCTACTATACTACGAAAAAAGATTTTGGTGGTAGATAATTCAAGCAAATAAGGACGGAAAAAACGCCTAAGTACTCGAAATGGGAGGATGATCTCTTTTGCAAATATATTCATCATTCAATTTGACTGAAGACAAGTGATCTCAAAAATAAACCGCAATAGCTGCAAACAAAGATATAAAGTGCTATATTAATGAAATTTCGAACTACCAGCAAAATATTCGTGGCACTATAACTCAAAAACTGACTTATGGCGAATTTATCCTTCTGGGTTCTTAATATACTCGCCAAGGGCTTTCATCTCCGTAAAGAATTTTCACTCCCTTTTCTTTTTTTCTCCCAAAAATTCTTTATTTTCTTTGTTGTACTCCCAAAAATTGGACATTAGTACGCGTGTCAAGAACCAGGTACTTATTAAAGCAATGTGTTAATTATACCGAAGAAAAAAATTTTTTTTGAACTATTCGTATTTCTTTTACATTTAATTGTTTTGAATGTTTTCTGTTTTGATACACTTATTCGTAAATATAAACAATTTAAGGCGAGATAATCCCCATTGGCAAAGAGGTAAACAAAAAGTGTGAGTAAATTGTACCTTAATTTTATTGCAAAGCTTTCAAATTGTTGTTTACCACCAACAAGCAAACCAAACAAACAAGTTCATTATCATACGAGAACGATTAAAAAAGCTAGCACCGCAGCAGTATTTTTTATCAGATAATTTCAATATATTTTTAATATGAACAAACCCATTTTCAATGGCAAATGAAAATATTATCTTTATATTAATTTGTGTACTGGTAATAGATCTACATTTTCTATTGGTCACCTTTTAACCGCATACCCCAACTTTGACATTATACACAATTCTAACTTTATTCATGTTCATTATAATTTGGAATTTATCGTACATTTATAGTAATACCAAATCCTTACTCCACCAAAAATTTATACCCATATCAAAGATTATGATTCAAGTTTTTATCATTCATTAAATAGCTATTGTACTAAGTTTAGTACTGTTCCCAACTGTTCATACAAGTATTGTACGACCGTATACAACTCTATGCTCCATACGATTTCAATCTTATATTTTAACTATATTTGTTTAACAAATACCAATGTCACAAACTGTAATATAACATACATTTTTGTGGACACATAGGGGAGACTGGGGCACCTTCGGCATCGGGGCACCTTCGGCAATCGCGTTTTCGATATGAAGTTCTCCCCGTACATCACTAGTTTCGATACATAGGTATCGAATATCAAAATAAATAACTGACACAAAATTTGAAATTTCTAGCTAATAAGCTTATTTAGATATATAGGTTTTTGTATTTTTATAGATGTTTCTGTAATATTTCAATTCCATTTCGTAAGTATTTCGTGTATAAAACTTTTTAAATTTTTAAGACAATATTATTAAAAAGTGGTTAACTACGATGTGTATTATTATAGAAATATTTAAAAATATAATGTTTTTACAAAACTGATCGAAAAAAATGAAAAAACTATAAAAAGTACATTCGGGGTACATTCGGCATTTGAAAGTGGGGCACATTCGGCCATATACAGATTGTGCAATATTATTTCCTTAAAATGTTTTTGAGTTTGTCTTTAAAACTAATCCTTTAATATGGTTCGAAATTGCATATATAAGATCAAACGTGCTTGTATTGACGAAAATGCGATAGAAAACCTCTATTTCTGATGGTGAGTGCGACCTTGAGATGTAAACGTCCTCCGCTAGAAAATAATGTCCTATAATTCAAATATTGTGTGGCGTATTAAAACCAAGTAGAGCCTTTAGAGAATCAAAATTTCAATCAGACTGATAGCGATGACAATTACCCGGCTATGACTATGGTGCCGAATGTGCCCCATCAAATGCCGAAGCTACCCGGGTTGGGGCACATTCGGCGAATTTGACTTTTTTTACAAAACAGTAAATTTTTTTAACTAATACTATTTTTTTATATCTTTTTGGTACTTTTTTTATAATTGAGTGTCAGAGGACAATAATCAGCTATAAAGTTTTTATATATGTTGAATAAGTACTGAGATATAGAGCTCTAAAAAAAATGTGCCGAAGGTGCCCCAGTCTCCCCTATACGAATTCCCGTTATACGAGTATTCATCTACCAATTGTATCAGATTTACTATTATTTAAAATAATTGTCTACGCATAACAAGATTCTAGCTATATTCATTCACCCAGTAACAATAGTACAAAATTGTGTACCCTTTAGAGTTGCCCGCTTATATAGTCCCTATATAAATGTACCTCACAATTTTCTATATCTTGAGAAGTTTGAGTTCGTCTTTCAATTAATTTTGCTGCAATATTATATTTTTAAATCTCCTTGGTTGTCAAAATTTTCTACCAAAAGTAAATTATAGCCTCCAAAACACAGTAACCCCACAATTCGACATTTTGAGGATATCAGATATATATTATCAAACGTAATATTCGGTATGTTCAAGGTCCATACCCAACTTACCAGTACTTGAGTGTCTCTGGTTTATGTTCTAAAATTAGTACATATCAAATGTACTAGTTTTTGTACATAATACTATTTGTACGACTTTAAGAAATTGTACCCTTTTCTCAATCCGGAATACCAATAGCATTCACCATGTTTAATTTAAAGATTAGAAGTCTATCCGTCCACTATAAACTTAATGTACAAAATTTAGTATCTTTTAGTGAACGACTTGTCAGAACCAAATATTTATCACTATGTCCGCACTATAGAATTTCCAACACTTTGACATTACAGTAATCGTACACAGCAAGTACGATACCCATACACAATTCGGCTAATTTTAATATTAATTCTATCATCTCTTATTTGTATCTTCGGGCCATTAAAGAAGGAGATTTTCATTAAAGAAGGTGGTTTTCAAATATTATTAAACATGAAATTCATCTGAATCGCACTGACATTCTTATAAGTAATCTCGCCATCAACACATACAAAATAGGAAAGGCAGGATATAGCGATACCAGGGGAAAATGGCAACATTAAATTAATAAGGACCTCAACTACTGCTCAAAATTCAAGGAGGCATTGTTTCTAGGCAACGAAGATGACAGCCCTATCACCTACGACAAGGCTACAGAAGGCAATCATCTACTTAGCTATTTAGTATGCCAGATTACAAACCAATGGGTCCCAGGTTCGAATAACTGCGGTGGAGGAAAGATTCATTCCCTCTCGGCATCAACGCATGAGTATAACTTAAAATAGGAAAAACGGGAGATGGTGACACCCAGCGGAAAATTAAAACACTAAATTAGCAAGGACCTGCGCATCACATAGGACAACGCTACAACAGACCAATCAACTACATAGCTGAATATTGTGTTAGATTATAAATCAATGAGTCGCAGGTTCGAATCCCGGCAGTGGGGGAAAGATTATTTTCCTCTTCGGTTGAAATTCATCCGAAACCCATTGGCATTTTAATAGGCAACCTCGGCATCAACACATGAGTATAACACAATATAGGAAATACAGGATATAGCGGCATCCAACCGAAAATGGCAGTACTAAATTATCAAGTTCATCAACCACTGCACAAAATTCAAGAAGGTGATGTTTCTAGACAACGATAGATGAAAAAACAAAAACAAAAAATGAAAACAAGGTTACAGCAGGCTAATAAACTATTTACCTGTAAAGTGTGTCAGATTACAAACCAATGCGTTGGAGGTTTGAATCCCGTCGAAGAAGGAAATATTCGTTCCCTCTCCAAATGAAATGCGTCCAAAGCGCACTGACAATTTAATAGAGTAAGTTCTTGCATTGAAAGCGCTGAAAAGCGGTAGTTTTTCAATAAGAAAATGTGCGGGTTATGTGGTATAGTTGGTAGGATTTAGGTGGGATAATGTGGATTCCTAATTTAACCTGATTTGGAAATTATTGTTCTGAATAATAATAGGGAAATTAGCATACAACATTAGCCGCCCTCAGCTATATCACATTAGCAGCTCATGGATTATTACACAAATTATTAATTAGAAGATACGAACTTACTCTAATCAACCTCGGCATCAACATGACCACTAAATAGAAATGGTAGGAGATAGTGACACCCAGCCGAAAAAGGCAACTCTAAATTAGCTACGACCTCAAACAATGCAAAAATCACAAAAACGTTTATTCTAGGCAATGATAGATGGCACTCGCATGCTAGATAATTGATAGCAGCGTTATAGTTTCAAACCACTGTGCGTAGTATAACATATAACTTTTCGTTCTATCTCGCAAGTCATAATCATAAAAAGCTCTATGTTGATCATTTAACAGTCAAATTTAGAGAATATTTGAACCAAAACAAATCAGTAGTTATTTACCTGCGAAAGAAGTAAATTGTGATCGCCAAACAAGCAAATCAGCCGAATCGAAATGTTAAAAACAAAAATTTGTCAAATCACTGGAAATAATTTCAGCATTCGAAATGTGGTACTTTTAAATTCTTCGCCAGTTGTAAGTAAATATTTATAAGAAATTGAAAATAAAAATGGAATATATCGCTTGTGGATGAAAGTCCTTAATGTGGATTTAAAGAATCAAAGAAGAAGAAACCCAGTTACATTTTTCGGATATTTCGTGGTATGTTCGCTGTTTCTATTGTATTCTTTTGAAGGCATATATTTTGGAGACAGAATGTTTTCAGTTTTCAGGATTTTTCTCGTTTCACTTCAAGGACATCCGCGAAGGAATATTCCATTCCTTAATATAATATTCAAATATAAAATAATGATTTACTAATGATATACATACTTCCAGCTGCGTTACCGCTCAACCGTTGCCGCCTCAACTCCCTTAAATAATGCCGATACCACCACAGCAGGCCAAGTGGTAGAATGGGAAAAGGCCAAGCCATTTGAAGAAATGCCCTCTATGAGCACATTTCAATTCTTGAAGAATTTTCTGCCCTGGGGAAAATATGCCAAATTGGATTCGGCCCAAATGTTGTTGGCCCTGAAGGAAGATGTTGGCCCAATTAGTCGCGTTAAAATGTTCCCTGGCAAACCGTATACCGTATTCACCCATATTCCACAAGATTTTGAAATGGCTCTACGCAACGAAGGTATTTGGCCTGATCGTCCTGGTTCTGAGGCGTTGTATTATCATCGTAATGTTCACCGTGCCGATATCTTTCAAGGTGTTGAGGGTCTATTGGGGACGTAAGTGTTTATCATTTATATTTTTGGGTGATTCATTTGTGTGTTGTTTATTCGATTTTTGGGTGATTTTTGATTTTGGTTGTTTTTATTATCGCTTCGCCATGAAACGTGAATTGATAAAAGAAAAAAAAATAACAAGTCATTATTTTCGTGTTAGAACATGATTGTGGATAATGATCGATTTTTTAAAGCTCTCATGGTGGTATGGTATAGCCGATGTGTCTACTAAAAAATTAAAGAGCAATTTATAAACATTTGAGGGTTTTTTATGGTTCATAGTGCTACAATTTTTAAAGAGCAACCGGTTATATTTTAACCACAAACGCAACAAATTTTTCACAAAAAATGAAGTGTGTGGTATCAGGGCCACACTTCGTAATATAGGTTCAGAAAACTGTGGTACTAAAAATGGTACGTGTTGAGAAAGTTGGCAATGCTAGTCCTTTGTAAGAGTACTTTTTGATATTTTCATTTAAAAGTATTTGCGGGATTTTTTAACTAAGTATTTATTATTATTTTTTTAAATTCCAGTAAAGGCGAACCCTGGGGTACCTTCCGATCAACTGTTAATCCAGTGCTAATGCAACCAAAGAATGTACGTTTGTACTTTCACAAAATGTCACAGGTCAATAAGGAATTTATGGACAGGTGAGTCAAAACTCAAGAAAAAAATTCCAAACACATCTGAATCATTACTTCCTCTCTCAGAATCCGTCAAATTCGTGATCCCCAAACACAGGAGGTACCCGATACATTTGAAGAAGAAATCAATCGCTGGACTTTGGAATCAGTATCTGTGGTAGCGTTAGATAAGCAACTGGGATTGATTAGCAAAAATCGTGATAATCCTGCAGCAAAGCGGCTGTTCCAGGCCCTAAACGATTTCTTTGCCAATTCATTGGAAATTGAATTGAAACCATCGATTTGGAAATACTACAAGACCAAAACATTTAAAAATCTAATGAAAAGTTTAGATGAAATCACAAATGTCACAAATGGTTATGTTGAAGAGGCTATTAGGAGGCTGGAAGAGGATCGTAAAAATGGTATACCCGAAAAACCCGATAATGAGAAAAGTGTTTTGGAGAAACTCATCAAAATCGATAAGAAAATTGCCATGGTCATGGCCATGGATATGTTGATGGCTGGTGTGGATACGGTAAGAATAGTTTATATATATATATAAAATTAAAAAAAAAAAACTAACTGCTTCTATATAAAATTATAATACAAATTAACAACCTGTTCCACTAAGACGATCGATGGTCTACTCGATCGACTTATAGTCGCTCGAATTCGATTCAGAATGGTTTTCGAATGGAAACAAAAACCCATTCCGATCGTCCTAGTAAAACAGGCTGTAAATTCATTCACAATGATTTATTCATGTATTACAGACATCGACAACCTTCGCTGGCCTGCTGCTGTGCCTGGCCAAAAATCCCGAAAAACAGGAAAAACTACGCGATGAAGTTCGCCGGCTATTACCCGAAAAAGATTCTGAATTCGATGAGGCCGCATTTAAAAATATGCCCTATTTGAGAGCTTGCATTAAAGAATCCCTACGCGTTTATCCATTGGCCGGTGGTAATGCTCGTGTATCAGCCAAGGATATTGTATTAAGTGGTTATCAGGTGCCCAAAGGAACTGAAATTATAATGGTATCAACTTCGCTGTTGAAAGATGATAATCATTATCCCAGAGCTAAAGAATATTTACCAGAACGTTGGCTTAGACCTACGAAGGAAACCGTAGGCTCTACAGAATGTCCACATGCCTTAAAGGCTAGCAGTCCATTTATATATTTACCGTTTGGTTTTGGTTCCCGCAGTTGTATTGGACGTCGTATTGTCGAAATGGAACTGGAATTGGGTATTGCTCGATTGATCCGGAATTTCAATGTGGAATTTAATTATCCCACTGAGAAAGCCTTCAAGAGTTTGCTGATTAATGTTCCCAATATTCCGTTGAAATTTAAATTTACCGATGTTAGGGATTAGAAAATATTTTGTTTTCATACGACCATGAAAAATGTGTTTTTGTTGTTAAAGAAAATAATGTTGTTTTTGTAAATATTATATTATTAGTAAATATAAAAATGTAAATAGCTTTTTAAAAAAACATCGGAAAGGAAAGAAATCTAATTTTTAACCTTTAGCATTAAAAGTTCAGTTTTAAATCTCGAAAACAAAAATTGCTTAAAGATAATTTTATTATATTTAAAAATAAGTTAAATCGCTTATTTTGACTGTATTCCCCGTTGTGACTCCAGGCAAAGTTCGACCATCTCAAGATAAAGTTTGTAGCCTAGACCCATGATATAGTCTTGTTCATCAGTGGTAAATTTATGCTAACCAAATTATGCAGGGTGCTTTGGTAACTCTGTCAAATTGGGAAATCGTACACTGCTTGTGAGTTGCGATAGTTCTCCCTATACTAACCTACGGAAGCCTTGTGCGATGGGAGGTCTTCGACAAAAGAATACTCTTGATCAATCTGAAAAAATGCAATGAAGAGACGGAAATCACTCTTTATAACAAGAGACCTCTGAATTCCACCTCAAGCTGCTTTTAATGTCATCTTAAATCACCGCCCAGACTTTTGGATTAGATTCCAAGCAACTAAATTTGCTCTGAGATTCAATAGCGTGGCGAACCTCGACATTAAAGGCGCTAACATTTTAAAACATGAATGGAAATCATTATTTTATGGATAATGACATTCATCAACTTCAAGGAATTCATCTTAATTATTCCGAATAGGGAATCGCGGACAAGTGGCAGTGGCCCCAAGAAGATATACAACTCATATTGACTTTGTCACTTTGTAGAGTTTTCAGGCTGAAATCATAGGACCGGGAACTATATATGTCGCATGCATGCATACGACAAGTCGTTATACTTTGTAGGGTTACAGGACATACTGAAATAAATGGGCTCGCTTGACTATATAATTGGCAAGATCTACAGCGTGAAAGCTGAAAGCAGCTGGTCTGTAGCCTGGCTGTAGAACTTTAAAATGCATCTGGTCGGAGATTTTGAGACGTAGAACTTCCTCATTGCTGCCACTAAAGAAAATGTAGATAGTACTCACTGTAAGAATCATATGTTACTGCATGAGGGCATGATCTGATACATTAGGTTCTGTATTAAACATCCGTATATAATGCCGTTTTTGCCTAGAAAAGCTCTGCCTAAAGAATAAATGTTGCAGGTCTTTCACTTATAGAAAATCTGAAAGAACTGCTGTACATGAAATAATTATTATGATAAAAATCTACAGTCTGTAAAATTCCTATATGAGTTCCCCTGCCAAGTACCCGGTAGGTTATCTGTCAATAGAAAACCTGTGTCCGTATAGGAGCTCTTTTGTCTATACAATAATGTTTGTCTATTAAAGCTCTGTAGGAGCTCTTCTGCCTAAAGAATATACGTAGGGGGTATTTCACCTATGGAAAATGTGAAAAACCTTCTGTATATCGAAAAACTGTTCTGATCAATATCTACTTTCTGTAAAAGACCTATATGAGTTCTACTGCAAAAAAAAAAAAAAACAATACAAAACAAAAAACAAAACAAAAAAAAAAATGGTAGGATATCTGGAGGAGGCAAACTGTATATAGAGGACCCTAAGAGAAGGCCTCTGTCCATAAAAGTAAGTCATCAATGTAAAAGTTTCGTATGATATATTTACTTAGAGAAGACTTGCAGAAGCTATTGATTTGCAGAAGTAAATTAAAATACCTGTATGAGCTTTTCTGTCTTTAGAATAGCTTAAAATATTTTGCTTATAGATTACCTGGATGTCTGGATCTCTTCTCTCTATATATCTGTCTGTAGAAACCTTGTAGGAGGTGTCCTTCTAAATAAGTCCTGTAGGAGATATTCTGTATTCTTTTGGTTCTTTGGAAAATCTATGTTACGCCCGTTGTCCGCGTAGGAACATTCTGTCTACAGAAGAGGTCTTCTGTCACGAAAACAACTGAAATATTCAAATAACTTTATAAAAATTACCTCCAGAAAACCATCCGGACGGAGCATTCACGACGTCACTAAAGAAAAAATATATCAAACTCACTGTGGGTATCATAACAGGTCACTGCAGAATTAGATCCCACACATCTGATTAAGAATCAAATGAGTGGACTAAGAGATTAATACTCTAACGTTATTCTCCAAACTAAAATTGAAATATGTAATGATATAAAGCTAAAACATGTAATCTCTTCCAAGCGCCTCCGAGTAAAAGCAGTTAATGACACTGTGCCACAAGATTTTGGGGAGAGGAAAATTCCAATTGGGTATTAAAGGCCTTTGTGAGTATATGAAACCCTCAGAAGAAAATAAAAGCTGTAGATCAAAGTTCGGATATATGGCTTGATCATTTCTGCTGGCATTTTTTACATAGAGAAATTGATTCGTATCTTGATTTGAAGCTATTGTATGTATTTGTTGAGGTTACATTTCTGTAGTAAAAAACTATTGAAACATCATTTTGCCCTTCCAAGTCGATTCTTTGTGTGTCCCTTTTATCCTTAATTTATTGAACCGGACTCCAATTATCACAATATGCGTTTTTCAATCTCACAGTATTCTACAAAAATGTTGCTCGTAGGATTTTAGATGGGGTCTTCATGGACAAGAAATCGATATTATAACGTTTTAATGGCCTTGTCTCAATTTTACCCGTATCATGACAGTAAAAACCTAAGATTGGAGGCAGAGAGAATATAATAATATACACACAAGGTATTAAAACCGGTTTAATTTTTTCTGGTTCAAAAATAGACAGTTTTCATAATAAAGATTTTATACTGAATATACTTAAATGCATACAAATAGGGTTTTAGTGGCATGACACGGGTAAAATTGAGAAAATATAAATTGTTTTAATATCGATTTTTGTCTTTAAGAACCCCACGTAAATTCTTATCAGCAAAATTTTTGTAGAATATTGCGAGGATGAAAAATCGCATCTTGTGGTGTCTCCAAGGTATTGTTCAACAAAAATTCATCAGAAAGATGGAATTTCGAATTTTAGTAAATATAATTATCGCCTCTGATATAGGCATTTAAAAAAATTCGAAATCAACTGAATAATCGCCTTGTTGCTCTATCTGACTGAAGTCAACAATAGATGTCTTCTGCCCACCAACATATTATTAATAAAAACAATGATTCTAATGATTGGATCTAACTTTGAAACGACAATCACACATCGTGTTGTGATGCACATAAATATGGTATACGGTACACCCTATTATACAGTGTTATTTTTAAGAGAAACAAAATTATAACTCTTAAATAGAAATTAATCAGTAAAAAGCTTTACGTTGTGATGGACTTTTCTAATATGAAAATACTTTACAAAAAGATCGGTCAGTCACTAAACTAGCGTGAAACAAACAAGTTGAAATTAATTTAAAACGACAACAAAAATTTCAAAAAAAAAAAAAAAAATAGGAAACAAATATAACGCAAAATGTTAAAAATGAGAATTTATCAAATAATTAATAATAATAAATTATTGTTGTTAAATATCAAAACAAATCAACAAAAACTACAACAAGTGAGAATCTAAAAATATATTTCAATATTTTTCAACAATAAATAAAACAATTAAAAATGTTTATATTTCCCTAGTGTCGTTTGCGCTCCACCGTTGCCCCAGCTGCAACAGCAGTGGAAACCGATTTGGTAAACAATCGTGTAGAATGGGAAAAGGCTAAACCCTTCGATGAAATACCCACAATGGGCGCATTGAAATTCCTTCGCAATTTTCTACCGGGTGGAAAATATGCCAAAATAGGCCCCATTGGTCGTCTAAAAATATTTCCCGGCCGTCCATATATTGCGTTCACTCATAATCCAAAAAAAATTTTAAATGGCATTCCGCAATGAAGGTATTTGGCCAGAACGCCCTGGTTCAGAGTCGTTATATTATCATCGTAGTGTACATCGTGCGGACTTCTTTCAAGGTGTTGAGGGTCTTATCGGAACGTAAGTTGAAGTGCAAATGCAATATGTGTGCGTGTGTGTGTGAGAGAAATGATAAACAAATGCGACAAGTCTATTTGTTTATTTAAACTTGATAATTGTTTATAAGATGGTTTAAAAAAATATTTTTGATATTGCCAAGTGGATATTCTGAGAAATTCTACACCAATCTAACCTGCAGTAGCCACAAACATGATTTCGATTTTTGTAGCATAGTATTATATGCCTGTATGAAATATTCTATCTTAAGAGGATCTGTACGATATATTCTACCGTTTGAATATTTGAAACAGACTGTAGAATGCCGCTAGGAAACGTTCTGTTATTGGAAGGTCCATAGAGGGTCTTCCATTAATAAAACATCTGTAATGGTTCATTGTTTATAAGAGTATGTATTTTGTCTATAGAAAGCCTGAAGATCTTCGACTTAAAGAAAGTCCTTAGGAAACGTATGTCGGTTGACATATAAAAGACCAGTATGCGATTTTCCGCCTTTATGTTATCTTCTGTAGAAATCGGTAGGTAATATTCTGCCTAAAGAAGACCACTATAGAGGTCTTCTGTCTATAGAAGATCTGAAAGACATATTCGTGGAAGTCCCTATATGAGAAAAGGTACATATAGAAGAACTGTATTCTGTTTATATATGGCTTGTGGGAGATCATCGATCATTCGAAGGTGTGCTGTAAGTCTTCTGCGTAAAAGGCCAAAAAATACCTGTGGAATGTTTTCTGCCTGTTCAGAAGGTATTGTGTATTTAAAATATCCGCATAATATCTCATATCCCTAGAAGATCTGTCAGAAGACCACAGCAGTGCATATAGGAGGCAATCTAGGTATAGACGAGATGTGAGAAGTTCGCATTTCATGTAGGAATTTGTATGTGTACAGGACACATGTATCAGGTCTTCTTTATTTAAAAGCCCTGTAGTTGGACTTCTGATTCTAAAATACCATAAATTATTTGTAAACGACTTGCAGGTATTCTATTCTATATTCACAATACACGCATTAGATCGTCTGTTTTTGGAAGTCTTGTGAGAAGGGCGTTGTCCGTTTAGAAGGTCATCTGTCTATAGAAGAAAGAGTTAGAGTTAATACATATGATGTCTTTTGCTATATATGACATGTAGAAGGTATTCTTGTCTGTCTATATGGTTTTATGATTCTGTGTTTAGATGCTGTACGAACTTTTCTGTTTTTAAAACAGCTCTGCCAGGCCTTGTGTATTCAACATACATGTATGGGACCTTCGGCCTCTACAAGATCTTAGTATAATGCATATAAACGACCTCTAGTATGTGCTTTCTCTATAGACCTGTAAGCCGTTTACTGTCTGTGGAAACTCTAAGGGAGGTATTTTCCCTAAATTAGACCTGTAGGAGGTGGTCTTCTACCCATAGAGGGACCGTAGGAGATTTTCTGACTATAGAAAACATGTGAGATATCTGTCTTCGGCATATGGGCCTTCTGTCTAAAGAAGAGATTTGTAGGCCTCTAGAGGTCTCCAAAATGTTTCTTTTGTGTTAGATGACTTTAGGAGAGCCTTCAGTCTCTTTATATCAAAAGGACTACAATATACCGTAAAAACAGTGAGCGGAGCCGTATAGTCGAACGGGGCCGATCATATGATACACAACTGCCATGGAACTCTAACATTCTGAGGATCTTTATTATGATCCTGGGCAATATTTCGGATATTGCACCCTCTTGATCAATTATGTGTCAACAGCTCATTTTTCTTACCCTGTCATATTTTCCGCATATTACTGAATAAAAAACCCCATTTCAATTAGTTAGCCAGAATGTCATCCCCGTGTGTTGTTGTTTTTGTCCATTTCATCTCCTAAATATTATCTTATCATCTCAGAAATTTATAAGCGTCATCCTTCATAAAGCCTAAGCCTTTCAGGAATAAACATATACACTTCAGAATGCAAATTTTGCTATTTTTCACACAAAAGTTTGGGTCAATTAGACTCGCTAAATATTGACCGATCATCATGCCAGACTTATTCCTTGGTCAAAAAAACACAATACATGGTCGTACGTCAAACCGTACGACACTTGTACTCGTCGAAAATGTTAAGGAATTAAAGATCATTTTTTGGTACTTCAAAATTTAATTAGCACATACGGAATCGTTTCAGAAATGTTCGCCCGGAGGATATAATTTAACCACTGTATCAAATGACATTTGATTTTTTCATAAAAAAAACAATTTTTTGTATTGCAGAAATGGTGATAAATGGGGTACATTTCGATCGGTTGTAAATCCCGTACTAATGCAACCCAAAAATGTCCGCTTGTACTATCAAAAAATGTCTCAGGTTAATAAGGAATTTATGGAAAGGTAAGCTTTAAAATATTCCCCTCAAAATATGCCATATATTATTATATAAAATTGTTTCCAGAATCCGACAAATTCGTGATCCCCAGACATTGGAAGTCCCCGACACCTTCGAAGAAGAAATCAATCGTTGGACTCTAGAATCCGTATCTGTGGTGGCATTAGATAGACAATTGGGTCTATTAAGTACAAATCGCGATGATCCAACAACAAAGCGAATGTTTCAAGCCTTAACCGATTTCTTCACCTATTCGCTGGAAGTTGAATTTAAGCCATCCATATGGAAATACTACAAGACCCCAACATTTATGAAATTAATGAAAAGTTTAGATGAAATCACGGATATTACAAAGGGCTATGTTGAAGAGGCCATTGCACGGCTGGAGGAAGAACGTAAAAGTGGGGTTCCCGAAAAACCCGATCATGAGAAAAGTGTTTTGGAAAAGTTGGTGAAAATCGACAAGAAAATTGCCATGGTTATGGCCATGGATATGTTAATGGCTGGGGTGGATACGGTAAATTTGGAAATATAATATTTTGAAAATTTTAATAATTGTACGATTCTATGCAGACCTCATCAACCTTCGCTGGCATTCTGTTGTGTTTGGCGAAAAATCCCGATAAGCAGCAGATATTGCGTGAAGAAGTACGAAAACCATTACCCCACAAAGAATCGGAATTCAATGAAACGGTTTTCAAAAATATGCCCTATTTGAGGGCTTGCATCAAGGAATCCCTACGTATTTATCCATTGACGGTGGGTAATGCCCGATCACCGGCCAAGGATGTGGTGCTGAGTGGTTATCGTGTACCCAAGGGAACACAAGTTTCAATGTCAATTACATCACTGGTCCGCGATGATAAACATTATCCAAGAGCAGGGGAATTTTTACCCGAACGTTGGCTGAGAGAAGCTAAGGATACAAAGGAGGCTACCACCTCTGGATGTCCACATGCCTTAAAGTCTAGCAATCCATTTGTTTTCCTACCTTTTGGCTTTGGTTCACGCAGCTGTATTGGCCGTCGTATCGTTGAAATGGAACTGGAATTGGGTATTGCTCGCTTGATACGCAATTTCCATGTAGAATATAATTATCCCACCGAAAATGCCTTTAAGTGCCTTTTGATTAATGTTCCCAATATTCCGTTGAAATTTAAATTTACCGATGTTAAAGATTGATTGGTGGAGGGAACAAACATATGTTATATTGTTATATTGTCATATCTCAATTGTTTATTGAAATAAATTATAATAAAATACCAATGAGCGGAAAAGTTTTGTCGAACGGTCTGACCATAGAATGCCCTACACAACTATCAGGGAGTGTTAGATTTCTGCAGATTAGTTTAAGAGTCAACAGCTCCTCTTCATTACGCTGCAAATTTTTCCCGGAGTGAACATCTACACCATAAGATCCAAAAGGTTGACCGATCATTATCAAAACAACCATTCTAATTAGTTGCCCAGATCCCCTTCTCCGTGTGAAATTCGGGATATAATCGTGGCCTCTATAGCGACTAGTTTTCAGGTCATTTCATCCCCTATGAAAAATATCGAAAAATTCTTCTCACCATAATTTTTAATTTCTCAAAACATTGGCATTCGGTATTTTGTATTTTGGCATAACGGTCCTTTGGAGGGTGGTAAACATATTTGCAGAAAATGTTTTATATATGTTCTTCTTGTAGCCTCCACATCAACGTCCCGCCCCATTTCCTCTATTGTTATCGCCATCGAAGTGGCTGTAATTTGAAAATCCAAGATCTTGGAGATGACAAAAATATATTAAGAATATGTTCGATGTAGGTCCAAATTTAAACATCGCCCCATATAGAGGTTCAGACCCACTTTCGCTTTAAAGGTCCTTGAAAAAATCAGAGAGTCCTAGTCGACATTTTATTTAAAAACACCACACCTTTGAGAGTCCTTGAAAATATTTTCTTTAAAGAGTCCACACCTGTAGCTTTGATAGTCCTCCAAAAAAAATATTCTTTTTATAAACCACGATTGCAGCTCTGAGTCTTTGAAAAAATCGTCTCTGAAAGTCCACAACTTTAGAGTCCTTGAAAAGTCCACGCCTATAGATGTTATAGTCCTCGAAAAAAATCTTTTATCTGATAGTCTTGACAAAATCTCCTTTAAAAAGTCTACGCCTGTTGATCTGATAGTCTTGACAAAATCTCCTTTAAAATGTCCACGCCTGTTGATCTGATAGTCCTTGAAAAAATCTTCTTTAAAAAGTCCACGTCTGTTGATCTGATAGTCCTTGAAAAACTCTTCTTTAAACAAATCAAAGTCTGCAGCTCTGATAGCCCTTAAAAAAATCGTCTTTAAACAAATCCAAGTCTGTAGCTCTGATAGCCCTTAAAAAATTGTCATCAAAAAGACCACGCCTGTTGATCTGATAGTCTTGACAAAATCTTCTTTAAAAAGTCCACCCCTCTTGATCTGATAGACCTTGAAAAAATCTTCTTTAAAAAGTCCACGTCTGTTGATCTGATAGTCCTTGAAAAAATCTTCTTTAAAAAGTCCACGTCTGTTGATCTGATAGTCCTTGAAAAAATCTTCTTTAAAAAGTCCACGCCTGTTGACCTACTAGTCCTTGAAAAAATCTTCTTTAAAAAGTCTTAATCTGATAGACCTTGAAAAAATCTTCTTTAAAAAGTCCACGCCTGTTGATCTGATAGTCCTTGAAAAAATCTTCTTTAAAAAGTCCACGCCTGTTGATCTGATAGTCCTTGAAAAAATCTTCTTTAAAAAGTCCACGCCTGTTGATCTGATAGTCCTTGAAAAAATCTTCTTTAAAAAGTCCACGCCTGTTGATCTGATAGTCTTGAAAAATCTTCTTTAAAAAGTCCACGCCTGTTGATCTGATAGTCCTTGAAAAAATCTTCTTTAAAAAGTCCACGCCTGTTGATCTGATAGTCCTTGAAAAAATCTTCTTTAAAAAGTCCACGCCTGTTGATCTGATAGTCCTTGAAAAAATCTTCTTTAAAAAGTCCACGCCTGTTGATCTGATAGTCCTTGAAAAAATTCTGATTATCTGATAGTCCTTGAAAAAATTTTTAAAACGTCCACGCCTGCTGATCTGATAGTCCTAGAAAAAATCCTGTTGATCTGATAGTCCTTGAAAAATCTTCTTTAAAAAGTCCACGCCTGTTGATCTGATAGTACTTGTAATTTTTTTCTTAAAAAAGCTCAGTCCTGTAGCTCTGAAAGTCCACGGCTGTAGCTCTGATAGTCCTTGTCATCTTCAGATAGTCGTCTTCAAGAAATCTACGTCCCGGATGTCTTCTGGCCGATAATATTCGTTTCTTACACGACCTGTAAATTGTCCCATGGTGGAAGGTATATTCTATATTGTATAAATTCGCGATCCTCTCATCCATGAAATTCCAGACGATTTTTAGAAGAAATTATTGTCTGGACTACGTACCTGTGGAGGGTAAATCAACAACGTTAAAATCCCGATGCACAGAGGATGACAACCTCTTCAATAAATATTTGTTGTTATTTGAAGAAGTGGAAGTGGAAAGCTCAAACATTTGCAGAAGATATCCGGAATGTGTTAGATGAGGGGGATCAATTGTTATGATTACTTCCGATGCAATAACCTAAAAGACAAGCGTCGCAGTTCGATCGCAATAATAGTTCCAGAGAAAAGGCCATCCCGCACACAAGTTCATCAGTTGCCAAAAACCAAGTGCGGGATCGCTGTAGTGAAAGGTAGGTCTACGATAGTTTGTGGTGTTACAAAAACTTGTGGCCATACCAACTTATAATAACTTCATAACAGGTTGTGAAGGGATAATTAAGACCTGAATGAAATGCAACTAACTGAACGCATTTAATTAATATATTTATCGTCAACCCATTCAATATCCGATTAACCCCTTTGGGATATACCACTTTTCATGATAGTTAAATTTGAAATCAATTCTCTTACGACTCTCCTCAAACTCATTTAAAGGGTTAATTAATTATGTCTATTAACGATAATTAGATCAATAGCCTCATTACGAATTAATTATTAATTATTCATGCATTGGAAATTATCTCCCTACTACTGATCAGTTGCAAACTGAAGATCATACAATCAAAACGTGTTTCATAAAATAAATCAAAATAGAAATGTTTGCAAATAAAATTTACAAAATTGTCATCAAAAATAAAGGTCGTTTAGATTCTCAGAGGATTCAACAGCAGGTGAGTTTCGAAAAAAATTTTAAAATTTTTTGAAAGTTAAAATTATTGAAATATTTTTATAGTTGCGTTTTTGTTCCAATACTGCTGCAGCTTCAAATATTCGAAATAATTTGTCCCGTTCGGAATCTGAATGGAATGCAGCTAAAAAACCATTTGAAGAGATGCCTACACTGGGCGCTTTACAATTCCTGCGGAAATTTCTTCCCGGAGGAAAATATGCCAACTATGATGCTACACAAATTATTATGGGTCTGAGAGAAGATATGGGCCCTATATGTCGCATTAAATTATATCCCGGTCGACCGTATATGGTTTTCACTCATAACCCCCATGATTTTGAACAGGTTTTTCGCAATGAAGGCATGTGGCCAACACGTCCGGGTTTGGAAGTTTTCAGCTATTATCGTAATGTACATCGGTCGGATTTCTTTCAAGTTACTGAAGGTCTGATTGGAACGTAAGTATTAGAAATTTAAAAGAAAAAGTTTCAAAGACCATTACAAGGCGTGGATTTTTTAAAGAATATTTTCTTAAAGGAACATTACAAGGCGTGGATTTTTTAAAGAATATTTTTTTAAAGGACCATTACAAGGAGTGGATTTTTTAAAGAATATTTTTTAAACGATATTTTTTAAAGAATATTTTATTTGTCATTCTATTTTTCAGAAACGGCGAAAAGTGGTGGAATTTTCGATCAATTGTCAACCCTATTGTAATGCAACCGAAAAATATCCGATTATACTTTCAAAAATTGGCCCGGGTTAATGAGGAATTTATAGAAAGGTATAAAATTGCTACAAAATTGCCGCGCAATAATTTCCCGATTTTTTTTCGCAGAATCCGACAAATTCGTGACCCTCTGACCCTTGAAGTTCCGGAAAATTTTCTAGATGAAATTAGTCGTTGGACCATGGAGTCAGTATCTGTAGTGGCGCTGGATAAACAATTGGGTCTTATAAATGAAAATCGTGAAAATTCCGATGCCAAGCGACTATTTCGGGCCCTTAACGATTTCTTTACCTATTCATTGGAAATTTCCTTTAAGCCATCCATATGGAAATATTATCAGACAAAAACATTTAAGAAACTCATGACGAGTATGGATGAAATTACAAATATCACAAGTCACTTTGTGGAGGAGGCCATTGCACGTCTAGAGGAAAATCGTGAAAATGGGGTACCCGAAAAACCCGACAATGAGAAAAGTGTGCTGGAGAAGCTAATAAAAATCGATAAGAAAATTGCCATGATTATGGCCATGGATATGTTATTGGCTGGAGCGGATACGGTAAATGAAAAATAAATCTTCTCTAATAAATTAGAAAGAAAGAATAATTTTTACTTCTTTTAGACCTCCTCAACATTTGCGGGGATCCTCTTGTGTATGTCAAAAAATCCTGAGAAACAAGAAATCCTGCGCTCGGAAGTCCGAAAAATATTACCCCACAAGGACTCGAAATTCAATGAATCGTCCTTCGGAAATATGTCCTATCTGAGGGCATGCATTAAAGAATCCCTACGTATGTATCCACTGACAGTGGGTACAGCTCGAAAACCAGCAAACAATTTGGTGTTAAGTGGTTATCGAGTACCAAAGGATACACAAGTATCAATGGTATCCACATCATTATTACAGAATGATCGACATTATCCAAGGGCTAGAGAATTTTTACCGGAACGTTGGTTGCGAACTTCCAAGGACTATACGGAGGGTAAGGCAGAATGTCCCCATAACTTAAAGGCTAGCAGTCCATTTATTTATTTACCCTTTGGTTATGGTTTACGTGCCTGCATTGGTCGCCGTATTGCTGAAATCGAATTGGAATTGTGTGTTGCTCGTTTGATACGGAACTTTCAAGTGGAATTTAATTATCCTACCGAGAATGCATTCAAAGGGGTACTGATAAATGTTCCCAACATTCCATTGAAATTTAAATTTACAAATGTTAAGGATTGATTAAAAGTTAAAATATAAAAGTACTCACCACTACAAAGTAGAACATCGAAATATTCCTGAAATGAAATACAAATTAAAAATACATTATGAGTGTTGATAAAAAAATAAAAAAACATTAAAAAATCTTTTAAAAATACCAAGCCTAATTGTATGCTAATAAAAAATAACTTTAAAAAATCCACTCCTATTGGTATGCTAATAAAAAATTGCTTTAAAATTCCACGCCTATTGGTAGGCCAATAAAAATGCCTTTAAAAATTCCACGCCCAATGGTATGCTAATAAAAATGACTTTAAAAATCTCACGGCTATGGCACGGCTATTGGTAGGCCATTAAAAACGCCTTTAAAGATTCCACGCCTAATGTTATGCTAATAAAAAACCCCGTTAAGAACTCTACGCATATTAGAAGGCCATTAAAAATGCCTTTAAAGATTCCACGCCTAATGTTATGCTAATAAGAAATCCTTTAAAGAATCCTCGCATATTAGAAGGCCATTAAAAATGTCTTTAAAGAATCCAAGCCTATTAGAAGGCCAATAAAAACGCCTTTAAAGAATCCACTCCTATTAGAAGGCCTATAAAAATTTCTTTAAAAAATCCACGTCTAATGATATGCTAATAAAAATTACCTTAAAGAATCCACGCTTATTGGTGTGCTATTGAACAAATCCTTAAAAAAACCTATTGATAGGCTACTAAAAAATTATCTTAAAAAATCCACGCCTATTGGTAGGCTACTGAAAAATGCCAATACTAAAACATTCACGTCTATTGGTAGGCTACTGAAAAATTATCTTAAAAAATCCACGCCTATTGGTAGGCTACTGAAAAATTCCAATACTAAAACATTCACGCCTATTGGTAGGCTACTAAACAATTCACTTAAAAAATCCACGCCTATTGGTAGGCTACTAAAAAATTCCAATACTAAAACAGTCACGCCTATTGGTAAGGTACTGAAAAATTCCAATACTAAAACATTCACGCCTATTGGTAGGCTACTGAAAAATGCCAATACTAAAACATTCACGCCTATTCACATTCAGGCTACTAAAAATGCCCTTAAAAAATCCACGCCTATTGGTAGGCTTCTAAAAAATTCCCACGCCTATTGGTAGGCTACTGAAACATGCCTTTAAAAAAGCCATATCTATTGGTAGGCTAATAAAACATGCCTTTAAAAAAGCCATGTGTATTGGTAGGCTAGTAAAAAATCCACCCCTATTGGTAGACTACTAAAAAAATTCCTTTAAAAAATCCACGCCTATTGGTATGCTAATAAAAAATTCCTTTAAAAAATCCATTGGTATGATAATGGTTATCAAAAGGTCTGTATAGCCCAGTGTTCTTTGTTTATACCGCTCACTAAAGATAATTATGAAATATTTTCTCATGTTTGCTTTCATCTAATATTCATAACAAACTACAGACAAAATAAATAAAACAATTGAATAAAGCTTTTTTTGTTGCAAAGAGATATCGTTCAGTTACCTCCCGTATGTAAACACAATAAGGCCGAACCATCTTTGTTCGAATCGAATAGGCAACTGAAAATAGAAGCTTTTTTTCTAATGTGTATCTCTAATTTCTCGTTTAGTCAGGTTTAGAATTGAGTGAAATAAAGACGTCTGATTAAGTGAAAGCAAGATTTTTTTTTGCAAACAAATATCAATTCAAAATGTTAGCGATCATAAAATTCGGCAATCACAAAAGCAAATTATTTTACGATATACTAATTAAAACCCAGAACACAGCATTGGTAATTTGAAATTAAAATATAATACCAAAGACACAGTGAACATCTAATTTAATTCACAGTTGGCCCGACATTTCGCATCGACGGCAGCTGCAGAGAACTTAGATCGAAAGAACATTGACGATGTAGCAGCTTCAACCGAAGAATGGGAACGAGCCAAACCGTTTGAAGAAATTCCAACAATGAGTACTTTTAAATTTCTTCGCAATTTCTTGCCGTGTGGTAAATACGCCAAATTGGATTCATCGGAAATGATGTTGGCTTTTCGTGAAGATATGGGGCCAATTGCCCGCATACCAACTTTATTTGGTAAAGAGGGGTTTGTGATCACCCATAATCCACATGATTTTGAAAAGACACTACGCAATGAAGGTATTTGGCCTAATCGTCCCGGTTCTGAGGCATTAATCTATCATCGTAGTGTACATCGAGGGGACGTCTTTCAGGGTGTGGAGGGTCTAATTGGAACGTAAGTGTGATAAAAAAACAATATTTGAAAGCAATCAGATTTTTTAATTTTTGGAAATGCGGATTTTTTAATTTTTTTGGCCTACCAATAGGCGTGGATTTTTAAAGGATTTTTTTAGTAGCCTATCAATAGGCGTGGATTTTTAAAGGAATTTTTTGTAGACTACCAATTGGCGTGGATTTTTTAAAGGAATTTTTTTTAGACTACCAATTGGCGTGGATTTTTTAAAGGAATTTTTTGTAGCCTACCAATATGCGTGGATTTGTTAAAGGATTTTTTTAGTGGCGTGGATTTGTTAAAGGATTTTTTTAGTGGCGTGGATTTGTTAAAAGATTTTTTAGTGGCGTGGAATTGTTAAAGGATTTTTTTAGTGGCGTGGATTTGTTAAAGGATTTTTTTAGTGGCGTGGATTTGTTAAAGGAATTTTTTTAGTGGCGTGGATTTGTCAAAGGATTGTTTTAGTGGCCTACCAATATGCGTGGATTTGTTAAAGGATTTTTTTAGTGGCCTACCAATGGGCGTGGATTTGTTAAAGGATTTTTTAGTGGCCTACCAATAGGCGTGGATTTGTTAAAGGATTTTTTAGTGGCCTACCAATAGGCGCGGATTTGTTAAAGGGTTTTTAGTGGCTAAAGGATTTTTTAGTGGCCTACCAATACGCGTGGATTTTTTAAAGAGATGTTATTTTTAGCATACCTATAGGCGTGGATTTTTTAAAGAGATGTTATTTTTAGCACACCTATAGGCATGGATTTTTTAAAGAGATGTTATTTTTAGCATACCTATAGGCGTGGATTTTTTAAAGAGATGTTATTTTTAGCATACCTATAGGCGTGGATTTTTTAAAGAGATGTTATTTTTAGCACCTATAGGCGATTTTTTAAAGAGGATTTTTTTAAAGAGATTTTTTAAAGAGATGTTTTTTAGCATACCAATAGGCGTGGATTTTTTTAAAGATATGTTTTTTAGCATACCAATATTCGTGGATTTTTTTAAAGAGATGTTTTTAGCATACCAATAGGCGTGGATTTTTTTTAAAGATATGTTTTTTAGCATACCAATAGGCATGCCCTTTTTAAAGATATGTTTTTTAGCATACCAATAGGCATGCCCTTTTTAAAGATATGTTTTTTAGCATACCTATAGGCGTGGATTTTTTAAAGGCATTTTTTAGTACCTTACCAATAGACGTGGATTTTTTAAAGGCATTTTTTAGCAGCTTACCAATAGGCGTGGATTTTTTAATGAGACATTTTAGCATACCAATAGGCGTGGATTTTTTAATGAGACATTTTAGCATACCAATAGGCGTATTTTTAAAGTAATTTTTTATATCTTTTTGACTAGGCAAGGAGAAAAATGGGGTACCTTTCGATCCACTGTAAATCCTGTGATGATGCAGCCAAAAAATGTTCGCCTGTATTTTAATAAAATGTCTCAGGTGAATAAGGAGTTTATTGAAAGGTATGAAGTTCTGAAACTGTTACAACTATATTTCTCAAAATAAATACTTATTTTTCCATTCCAGAATTCGCAACATTCGCGATCCTGAAACCCTAGAAGTGCCTGCCAATTTCGAAGAAGAAATAAATCGCTGGACCCTAGAATCGGTATCCGTTGTGGCCTTGGATAAACAATTGGGTCTAATCACCACAAATCGAGATGACCCAACAGCTACAAGACTATTTCAATCACTAACGGATTTTATACAATGCTCCATGGAAATTGAAATGAAACCATCGATCTGGAAATATTACCAGACACGAACATTTAAAAAATTATTAACAAGTTTAGATGGTGTTATGGATATAACCAAAAATTTTGTGGATGAAGCAATTTCCCGGCTGGAGGAGGAACGTAAAAATGGTGTACCAGAAAAACCGGACAGTGAGAAAAGTGTTTTGGAAAAATTGATAAAAATCGATAGAAAAATTGCCATGGTTATGGCAATGGATATGCTGATGGCTGGAGTGGATACTGTGAGTATTAAAAAAAAAACAAATTTACTACATTAAAAAAGTTATTAAAAACATTTTTTCTCCTAGACCTCCACCACCTTTACCGGTTTACTTTTGTGTTTGGCCACAAATCCCGAGAAACAGGAAAAACTCCGCCAAGAAGTTCGAAAACTATTACCCCACAAGGACTCCGAATTTAATGAGGCTGTTTTCAAAAATATGCCCTACCTTAGAGCATGCATCAAGGAATCATTGCGTGTATATCCCTTGACTGTGGGTAATGCTCGAGTACCCATCAACGATGTAGTTCTAAGTGGTTATCGTGTACCTAAGGGAACTCGTGTGACAATGATTTCAACTTCTCTGCTAAAAGATGATACACATTATCCCCGAGCGAAGGAATTTTTACCAGAACGTTGGCTGAGACCTTCAAAGGCAGAAACGGAAAATGCCACCAACGAATGTCCAATGAACGCCCTGAAAGCTAGTAGTCCATTTATTTATTTACCATTTGGATTTGGTTCACGCAGTTGTATAGGTCGTCGCATCGTTGAAATGGAATTGGAAATGGGTATTGCTCGATTGATCCGCAATTATCATGTGGAATTTAATTATCCCACAAGGAATGCTTTTAAAAGTTTATTGATTTATGTCCCGAATATTCCGTTGAAATTTAAATTTACCGATGTTAAAGATTGATTTAAGTTATAATTAAATTAAAATGAAAAAATATATAAAACAACAAATTTCCTCTTCTAGGCATCATAAGGAGACCTTTTCCAACAGAAGGTATTGTAACTTGGCATTCCGGGTTCTTCGATGGTTAACACCTTCTTCGTAGAATGTCTTCCATATAAATCAATTTTTTTACAAGACTCGAATGACTCCGATATTGTGATGGTGCTTTCCATATTTACAAATCATGGTGGCTTTAAGTAGGTATTTCGGGGTTTAAGAGAATTAAATACAAGTTTGGCATAGTCCCAATACTGGAACCGCAGTAAACCCTCCTCTGGACGTTCTGGTTTTTATACAGAGCACTGCTGTATAATGGCATTTAACATCAAATGGTACGATGACGTTACGGATTGCTACATACTCTGTGAAGAGACGGAGACGATCGATGATCTCTTATGTCGCTTTCCAGTTTTGGCCTGCAGACGACATTATTTATTAGGCATTATTCATTTGCCATCATAAATAACGTTCTACTCTAATATGGAGTCTGCCTTAATATACAACATCGTCGACCGTTAATCTTAACTCCTATTTTATCAGCTTCGTTCACTTTCCCTTATTTCGTTTTCCTCTAGTTTTACATAGTTTTTCAAAAAAATGTAAACGTTTCATTAATATAAAAATTATTTTCTTTCTTCATTCTACTTTCCTTAATGTGTTATTCTCTTGTTTGCTATTCTCTCGAATGTTTTCCTTCCAAAACGAAAAAAAAACACCACCATTCACTGTTCGACGGTGTTTTGTTTCCACATAGACAATCCGTCTCTCCTTTTACTTGGTGGATGTTACTCAATTGTGGGTAGTTTAGCATTTCATTGTTTGTTTATTTCAGACACGTCATGGCTATTATAAAATTCGCATATGTATATTCCAAATTATTTCGATATAAATACCAGATATAATATGTCAAACAAGTGTTGATACGAGTGTTTAACATTGTTATATATGATCTATTTTATAGAAAGTGTATGTTCTACAGGTCTTCTATGAAAAATCTTTGTATAGGTGTCCTGTAAACAAAACACCTCCTAAAAACGCTCTGTACATAATGGATATCTTATAGCTCCTATGTATATCCATCTGGCCTTTAAAACATATAACATATTCCACATGCCTTTTAAACGTCTTCTGTCTATATAAGACCTGTTGGAGATCTTCTGTGTAAAGAAGTCCTGTCTATAGATGACCTTTTAGTGATCTTTATTCTTAGAAGACCGGCTGGATGTCTTCTGTCTACAGAAAATATCCTAAATGTATATGTTCTATAGAAAACCTGCGATAGAAGTTCTGGTGATTGCCTTCATTTTGCTGAAGACCTGATATTATAGAATTCGCATATGTATATTCCAAATTATTTCGATATGAATACCACTTTTAATGTGTCAAACATGTGTTGATATGAGCAACATGACCTATCGAGTGTTTAACATTGTGATAAGTGATGACTGAGAACAAGTGATGACAGAGAACAAGCTTATTAATGCCTATAAACACGGGCAGCCGTGTCCATGCATGAACATCATTACCATAGAAAAACCACCATTCAAATAGACTCCAAAGTTGTTTCTCTCTCTTTCTCTGTCTGACAAAAAGCCAGTATTTACAGTTTTATGAATCGAATTCATAAAATGCAGAATTCCGGACATGGACAACACTTTCTTACCACTATTCATTTAAAATATTAATTATCTTTTCTGAGTAAACTTCACACTTCTTTCTAGACCAAATTTGGCCAAAATTGAGAGAATCGGGCAAACCTAACATCTGATGAAAGCATATATAGAAGCTATATCGAAGGATGAGGTTGTTAAGTTTGATGAAAGAGGTCTTCGATCTATAGAAGATCTGTAGGAAGACTAGTGTCTATGAAAAATATTCTTGGTCTGTAATAGCGATTTTATCCATGAGTATGAGACATTCTGGCATATGAAGACTCTAGTTGGAGAAGATCTATAGAAAATGTTTTGACTTTATAAGATCTGTTGAGGATCTTCTGACTATAAAAGACCAGTTGAAATTTGTCTGTCTATAGAAGGTCTGCTGAGGGTTGCCTGTCTTGCAGGTGATCTATTAGACGTTTTTTGTCTGTAAAATACCTGTTGATGGTCTTCTGCTTATGATGGAAATCTTCTGTCAGTGTAACACCTGATAAAGTACGTCTACGTACGTGATGAAGTACGTCTATAGAAGACCTGATAAAGGATCTGTTGAAGATCTTCTGTTTACAGTAGTTCTGTTGGAGGTCTTTTTTATAGAAACCCCGCTGGAGGTCCTGTATTTATATAAAAGGTACTGAAGGTATTCTGTTTGTGGAAGACCTATTGGAAGTCGCCTATTTGTAAAAATTTTATTTTTCCTATAGAAGTGCTGCTGAAGGTCTTCTGTATGCAGAACACCTGGAACAGGTCTTATGTCTATAGAGGATAATTTGGAGATCACTCTGCCTATATAAGACTTGTTGGAGGACATATGTATACTGACTTCTTCTTTTTTATATATTGTAGCCTTATGGAGGATCTATAGGAAACCTTTCGCCTACAGAAAACATTTTCGACTGTAATAGGATCACGGGGAGGTCTTCTGTTAAAATGCTTTTTCGGTTCTGTTCTAGATAATGTTTTTTCTTACATATATACTCCACTTACGATCTTGTGTATAACAATAAAACTAAAGCTACTGTTCGAAGCTAAAGAAATGAGCTCCGCAGAAAATGAAATTATTATCATTTAACCACAATGCGGGAAATCACAATTTAACTAATATAGGCACACTTTTGCTATTTTTTGCGTGATATCGATTCCTTTGAAGATATACAATCAAGCAGATTTTTTACACTGTGTGCAATTAGTAGAAAAAATTAATTTCTCTGAATTTTTGATTTGCCCTAGTAACGTTAACAAAATAATTAATTAAAAATATTTTAAGTTTTCTGTTTTTATTTTTATATTCATAACAAACGATCCGCTCATACCACACTAGCTCATTAGCAATAGAAGAAAAAGTAATTAAAACAAATAAAAGAAAAAAGCTTCTGTGTGTATTCTACTCAAATGTCTCCGGCATGGAAAGAGAAGACTCGCTTATTCTCAAATATTTTCCAATATTGGGTCAGTGCTTGGGCGAACGTTGTACAAATTAAAGGCATTTAGAACGAAAAAAAAATATCCGCACAACGATGACAAAATACCACAATTATTTGTTGCGGAATAAAAATAATTATCGATTTGTGGTAAAACAATTAAATCAAGTAAGATAATAATTTTTAAAAACTATGCGAAATGTCTATTAAATACCAATATCTTTATTATAGATACGTTCCGTGGCAACAAATCCCAATCATCCTCTCTCTGAAACCTCACCAAAGTCATCATTCTCCGAACAATGGCAACTGGCCAATCCGTATGAAGAAATTCCAACATTGGGATCTTTTGAAATGTTCAGAAATTTTTTACCAGGTGGTAAATTTGTTAATCTGGACCTTACGGATATGATAATGACACTTCGATCCGAATTGGGTCCGATATGTAAAATGAAGGGTGTATTTGGTCGTCCTGATATGGTAATCACACATAATCCCATCGATTTTGAAACTTTGCTACGGAATGAAAGTGTATGGCCTAATCGTCCTGGCTCGGATGGCTTAAGTTATCATCGTCGTGTACATCGTGCGGATTTCTTTCAGGGTGTTGAAGGATTAATTGCGTCGTAAGTGGAAAATAAATTTAGTTTAATTTTTATTAGATATAAAATTGTACAATGATCTTTGTCTACAGGACCAAAAGACTTTCTTAGACAAGATCCTCTATAAATAAGTAATTTTTAATAAAACAAAGGGTCTCCGAAAGAACGAAGCATCCTCTATTTAGTCATGAGACATGCTTCCCATATATTCTCTGTAAGCCAAGGGGCTCTTACAGATCTTCTTTAGGAAGAGGACTACCCATATGTCTGCTAAATATAGAACAATTGTTTTCCCCAAATACCAAAGACCTCCTACATCTAGTAAATCTCCCTATAGATCTATAACAGAACACCCCCTAACAACTTTCTGTACGTAGTGGATCTCACTTAAAATATCCATCTGTTTATTTGAACATAAAACAGTTTTCACGGGACTTTTGACAGTCTTCTGTCTATATTAGATCTGTTGGAGGTCTTCTGTCTACAGAAGTCCTGTTAAAGGTCTTTTGAGATCTGCTGAACGTCTTCTGTCCATAGAAGACCTGAGGGAATTCGGCAGACGTGATGGAGTTTTTCTGTTTATTCTGTCTATAGAATACCTGGGTGAGATTCTATAAAAGTCATGATTGAGGTCTTCTGTCTGTAGAACAACTGGAAGTGATCCTTATCTGTACAAGGCATGTTTTAGGTCGACTGTCTATAAGACTCCTTGGAGGTTTTCTGTCTGTGGAGGAACTGCTGAAGATCTGCAGTCTATAAAACGCCTGGAGAAGATCTTTTGTCTATAGAAAGCCTGAATCCTGAAGATCGGATGTGTATAGAAGACCTCTTAAAGGTATTCTGTCTATAGAAGACCTGTGGCAAATCTTTTGACTATAAAATCATCTTAATGTCTTTTTCTATGAAGTCCTGCTAAAGCTCTTCTGTATGTAAAGGCCTATAGAAGGCCTGCTGGAGATATTCTGTATCTAAAAAACCCCGTTATTCGGTTTGTAGAAGACCTGGAGGAGGTCTTCTGTTTGTGGAAGGCCTTCTGGAGATCTCTCTGCTTTTAGAATACCTTCTGGAGGAAGGTATTCTGGAGATCTCTATGTTTATGGAACAACTATTTTCTTTCTGTAGAATTATTGTAGGCCAGTTGGAGATCTTCTATCTATAGAAGAAATGGATGAGTTCCTCCATCTATAGAATACCTAGAGGTGAACCCATATCTATATAAGGTCTGTTTTATTCCGGCTGTATATAGAAGACTTCTTGTAGATTTTCTGTTCGTAGGGAACCTGCTAAAGATCTTCTGACTATGGAAGACCTGTAAGAAAACTGTTGATGACCTGTGGAAGATCTTTTGTCTGTTGAAACCTGCTTGAGGTTTTCTATATATGTCTACAGAATGCCTGGTGGTGATCTTCTGTCTATAAAAAACCTCCTGTTTGTAGGAGGCTTCAAAAGATCTCTCAGCTTATAAAATACCTTCTGGATGTCTGCTTTTTATAAAACATATTTAAAGGTATTCTTACTATAAAAAACCTGTCGAAGGTCTTCTGAATATATGAGGCCTGCATGAGGTATTTTGAGGGGTATCTTGTACATAGAAGACCCGCTGGAGATCTATGCATATATACGACTTCTTTGAGGTCTTTTGTTTTAAGTCTGATGGATGTCTTTTCTAACGAAACGCGCCTGAAGACTTTTTTCTAGAGACGACCTACTGAAGGTCTTCTTTATGTAGAATACCTGGATGAGTTTCCCGGCCTATAGAAGATCTGTGGGATATATTGTGTCTATAGAAGATTTGCGTTATGTGCATTCAGAAGGAAGGAAGGTTCTGTCTATATAACAAATGTAGTAGGCAATATCACAATGAAATGTTCCATCCATAGAGCTGGTGGGATGTTTTTACCCTAAGAAAACTGGTTGGTGATATCCTGTCTATTGAAGATCTGTTATAGAACTTCTGTATATCGAAGAACTGTAGGAAGTCTTCGGTCTATAAAATACTTGTTGAAGATCTTCTGCCTGTAGAAGTCCGGTATGCGATCTTCTACCAAAATAACACGTCCAGAATATCCTCTGCCTATATAAGACTTGTGGGAAGTCCTCTGTACGTTTAAGAAGTCTTCTGCCTAAAGAAGGCCCGCCGGAGATCCTATAGAAGACTATTGGCTGACTATAAAAGAGCTCCTGAAGGTCTTCTGTCTATAAAAGATCTGCTGAAGGTCTTATGTTTCTATGAGTTATGTATAGGAGCAATTTTATTTTTTGTTTTATTTTCAGACAAGGCGAACAATGGGGTACATTTCGATCAAAAGTAAATCCAGTATTACTGCAACCTAAAAATGTACGTCTCTATTTGGATAAGATATCTCAAGTCAATAAGGAATTTATAAAAAGGTGAGTCGATTAAACCAATTTTATACATTAATAAATAAGTTTTTCCAATATTTCAGAATCATTGAAATTCGAGACCCAAAATCCCACGAGGTCCCCAGTAATTTCGAAGAAGAACTTAACCTGTGGTCTTTAGAGTCAGTATCAATTGTGGCCTTGGATCAAAAATTGGGATTACTAAGTGAAAATCGTTCAAATCCCGAAGTGAAGAAATTGTTCGGCCTATTAATCGATTTCTTTACATTATCGGTGGATATTGAATTTAAGCCGCCGATATGGAAATATTACAAGACAAAGAAATTCAAAAAGTTAATGGAAACTTTGGATGGTGTGACAGATATTGTCAGTAAATATGTGGAGGAGGCAATTGAAAGGATTGAAATTGCCGAAAAGGAGGGTTTAAAATCCGATCAGAAAAGTGAGCCAAGTGTGTTGGAGAAATTAATAAAAATTGATAAAAAGGTTGCCACGGTAATGGCCATGGATATGCTAATGGCCGGTATTGATACGGTAAGAAAATTCAATTCAAAAAATATATTTTTATAAAATAAATAAATTTTTTAAATCTCTTTTCTAAGACCACATCTGCCTTTACGGCATTACTTTTGGCCTTGGCAAAAAATCCAGAGAAACAACAAAAATTACGTGAAGAAGTTATGCGTGTTCTACCGCACAAAGATTCGGATATCGATGAGGTGGCATTTAGAAATATGCCATACTTAAGGGCATGCATCAAAGAATCTCTACGTGTCTATGCCTTGGCTATGGGTAATGCGCGTATATCAACGACGGACATGATTATAAGTGGCTACCGAGTACCAAAAGATACCCTAATTATGATTGTATATTTATCGTTGATCAACAATGATGGCTACTATCCGAGAGCTAAAGAATATTTACCTGAACGTTGGCTAAGATCGCCGGAGGGGGAAAATGCATTGAAGCCTCGTAGTGCCTTTGTTAATTTTCCCTTTGGATTTGGTGTCCGTAGCTGTATTGGTCGTCGCGTCGTTGAAATGGAAATGGAATTGGGCATAGCTCGTTTGGTGCGCAATTTTCACATTGAATTTAATTATTCGACTGAGAATGCCTTTAAAACATTGTTGATTAGGGTTCCAAATATCCCATTGAAATTTAAATTTACCGATGTTGAAAATTAAATAAAAATTAAAAATTTTAAAATCAATGAATCTGAATGGGAGTTATATGTCAACAAAGTCCAATGGTCTTCCTTCTATAACAGAAACCTTGTAGCAGGTCATCCGAATATATAAGATATGTGGGGGTTTTCACTAGGTCTCTTGGCTATAGAAGATTTGTAGAAGAATTTCGGTACAAAATAGGCAGGAGTGATATCTTCTGTCTGCGGAGGATTTGCTGGACAAATTCATTCCATTGTGAGAGATCTATAGGAGGTTTTCTGTCTATAGTAAACGTCAGATATGAAAATCATCTGCCTTAGAAGTCCTAAGGTCTTTTATGTGTAGAGTACCTTGACGATTATCCTGTCTATAGAAGGCCTGCTGGAGATCTTCTGTATATAAAAAAAAAACCTGCTGGAGGTCTTCTGTCCGTAGAAGACCTGGAGGTGGTATACTGTTTATGGAATCCCTGTTAGAGGTCTTCTTTCTATAGAATACTTTGTTGGAGGTTTCTTGTCTATAGGAAGCCTGTAAAAGGTATCCTATTTATTAAAGACCTGTCGAAGGTCTTCTGCCTATAGATTGCCTGTTTGGGGCCTTCTTGAGGAGTATATTTTCTATAGATTGCCTGCTGCAGGTCTATGTCTGTATACGACCTACTGGAAGACCTCTATAGACGATCTGCTGAAAGTCTTCTGTATGTAGAAGACCTGAAGGAGGTCTCTTGTCTATTGAAGTCCTAAGGAAGATTTTTTGTACATAGGTGATTTTTTTATAGAAGGTCTGTAAATATTCGGTCTATAAAATAAATGTAGGAGGTATTTTGTTTATAGAAGGCTAGTCTTCTGTCTGTATAACTCTAATAGGAGATGTTCCAGAGGGAGTTTTACTTATAGAAGGTCTGTGTGAAATTTTCTATACATAGAAGGGGTGGGATGTTTTTGCCCAAAGAATACCTGTAGAAATCTTCAGTTTATAGAAGATCTAGGAGGTCTACTTTTGGACATCCTCCGTCTGTAGAAGTCCGGTATGAGATTTTCTATCAAAAGAAGACTTGTGGAACATCCTCTCCCTTAGTTTAAAAAATCTATAGAAGGTCCCAAAAAAATATTCTGCCTATGATGGTTTGTTTAGATGTAAGTAGAGGAGAGCTTATATTATTATATGCATTCAAAAGACCTGCAGTTAGTCTTCTATCTCAAGAAGGTTTATGTTCATAATGGACTTGTAGTAGGTATTCTGTTTATAGAAAACATTTATTAAGTCCGCTGACCCTGTAGGAGGTGCTTTGTATATAAAAGACTTTTAAGATATGTCTAAGATAGAGACTTTTATGATATATCTGCAAGAGGTATTCGTTCTTTAAAAGTCTTGAGGTATTGAAGACCTACAGAAAGATAATATGTTCTATATATGTAGAATATATTCTGCATAAAAACAGTCCTTTTGGAATTTTTTTGTCTACAGAGGACCGGTGGGAGAACTTTTGTCGGTGAGGGCGAAGTCCACTGTCCGCGTAAGAGGTTTTCTGTCTCTCTGACAGGGTTTTCTCCCTAAAAAATCCCGCGGAAAGTATTTTACCTATATGAAATCTGTTGGAGAACTTCTGCCTATTAATCGTCTATATGTAAAAAGTTGAAGGTCCGAGTAAAATGTGAAGAGGTTTTCCTATTCTATGTAGATCTGTATCGGTCGGTATAGACGTTTTCTGTCTAGATGACTATAGTAGATATTCCTCAAAAGAACTATGTGATGCGTTTGTCTATAGAAGGCTAGAAGAAGGCTATTTTATCTTAAAAATATTTTTATCTACGGAGACTTGTAGGAAGCCTTCTGTCAACATATGATCTGTAAGAGTTATTCTATCTACAGAAGGCATGTAAAAGGGATCTTATATTCATAGAATACCTCAATAAGCGTTCAAGTCCTTAGATGGCCTCAATCAGGTCGAAGACCTCACCTTATATATATATATATATATATATTTTTTTTTTTTTGGCTTTGTTTATGAGTACCGCAGCGATATAATTTATTTTAAGTTTTAACTGATAAAAACCACTGAACAGATGTTCGACTACATCAGAGGCTCTGGCAGGTGTTGATTTTTTAAAGAATTTTTTCATTGGCTCCAATAGGCCCCAATAGCAAAGGCTCCAATTTTGTTGAAGATGTTTTTTTTTTCAGAGGCTCCAGTAGACGTGGATTAGTTAAAGAATTTTTTCCAGAGGCTCTAATAGGCGTGGATTTGTTAAAGAATTTTAAAGAGACGGTGATTTAATAAAAAATCAGAGGTTCTAACAGGCATAGATGTTTTTAGATATTTTAAAATATGATGGTTTAATAAAAAAAATAGGAGGCCCCAAGAAGCGCAGATTCTTTTTCAGGCGTAGATTCCAACATTTGTGGCAGTTGATAAAATTTTTTAGAGGTTCCAATATTCCTGTACTTCATTAAAATATATTTTTTCAGAGGTTCCAACAAACCTTCCAAAGGTCTATAATGACCAAAAACCTTCCAATGGGCTTCAGTAGTCAGAACGTCTACACATGGAAGTTCTTTCAAAGGTTATTGTGATTTTTAAGAGTAATCCCAATTGGTCTATTAGTACAGACTTCCTTCAAAATGTTTCTATGATGATGATAAATATATATACCGACATTAAATCTGTGCTAAATCTGTCCTAAATAGGATATGAAACAAAATTTGTCGTCGCTACATCCTTTCATTCCAATATCAGCAAAAACAAATATAATGTCGACTTTTAATTATTCTTTAGGTTCTTTTTTACAAGACTCAACTACAATTTTGAGGGTAAAATTCGTACATTTCGAATACGAGGAGATTTAAATATTTTGGGCTGTATACACAATTTGGTACTGAACATATTTTTGCACTCATCTATGTATTGAAAAGCGTATGTAATCCCAAAAATACACATTTACTTGCCGCGTATTAAATATAAGCTCTTAAAACATACTACAACAAACATTATTTAAAAACACCACATCCATTGGAGCGCCTCCGAAAAAGTTATTTAAAATATCCACGCTTTTTGGAAGTAAGCATAATCACATTTATCGCTTCTTTAAAAGAGAATCACGAGAGAGAACCCCTAAACTCAGGCTATTCGTTTATAAGGCACCCTCATGACAATATCAACATTTAGATGACAAGCAAACGCTTACAAAGTCACAGCTTTTATTTTAATTCGTTGTTCACTATTTTATTTTTTCTTTTCAATTCGTCAAACATGATCAAATAAAGACAAACAACTAGATACATAAATGTCATACGCCGGCAGGGAACACAGCAAATAAGTACAACAAAAAAAAAAAAAAAACAAACAAATTTATTAATTGATAAAAATGACCGAAAATGGTTTAATAAAACATTTTTTACAGCTACGTTTCACATCGACAAATGTCCAGATTTCACACAGTGACAACAAAACATTCCCTACAGAATGGCAAAATGCCAAACCCTTCGAAGACATACCCTTGATGGGTGACAAGTCCATGATGAAACATATGTTATATGTTCGAAAGGATTTCTTTGGGTGTGTTACCGGTTTGGTATCAGTGTAAATAGAAAGAAAATGTGGGAGATATCAGTTGCGAGTGAAAAGAAAGAATATGTAAATAAACACCTGTTCCAAATAGTGCTTATCAGTAAAAAACTTAAAGATATATATATATATATATATATATCGCTGACCGTGGGGTAATCAATAACAAAGACGGCTGACGAAATGTATCGAATCAATTTCTAGTCACACTTATTTCATTTGAAAGTGAGTCGGTTCCAAAAAATCGCGTCTATAGTGCGCCTTAAACAATTATTTAAAACAATCCACGACTATCAGAGCCTCTGATGAAGTCGAACATCTGTACAGGGGCAATCATTAAAAAAGAGCAACATTCAGTATTAGATAAAATTTACCCAATCAATTTGTAGTCACTTATTAAATTTTCAAGTGGCAGGCCCAGAAAAAAATCTTTCAAAAATCCATGCCTTTAGTAGCTCTTGAAAAAATAATTCTTTAAAAAATCCATGCCCATAGTAACCGATGAAACAAACTATATTAAAAATCCGCGACCTTTAAAATAATGTTAAACGGTTTACGTTAACTGTTAGAACCTCTGAAAATCCACGACTTTTGGAGAATCTGAAAAAATTCTTTAACAATTCCACGCCTATTGGAGCCTCTGAAAAAAATTCTTGGCTTAACTCTAGTTTAGTAAAAACGATCAGATTTTTCTAAAATTTTTTCCAGATGTAGGTATTTTTACCCTAATTATGGGGATATATTTTTTTCTTGGGGGACGTACCCGGTTACCCGGTTATTTGACCCGAAAGTTCGGGTCCGGGTACCCGGTTATACCTGGTTCTACGGATCCGATCAATACAAAATACAATATGGGTATCATTTTAAAGGTTATAAAAATACCTTTCCAATGAGTGGTGATATGATGGGGTTTTGGAGACACAGCCAAGAAAACTGGATTTTGGACCCCTATTTTTTTTTGAAAAACTCCCTAAAAGTCGAACTTGGGACCATTATAGTCCCAAATGATAGACCACAAATTGCCCTTTCCAAAATGGTGTGATATGTGGCTGTATCTGCTGTGGATCAACAGATATGGGCCTTAGAACCCTACAAAAAAAAAGAAAATTCTGTCGCGTAGCCGGTGTTGGTACCTGTCCATAGGAGAAAGTCTTAAATCCCCGGCCGAAGGCCGGCTACCCAGAAAACTATTCTATATGAAAGGAGATTCTGTCGCGTAGCCGGTGTTGGTACCTGCCCATAGGAGAAATTCTTAAATCCCCGGCCGAAGGCCGCCTACCCAGAAAACTATTCTATATAAAAGGAGATTCTGTCGCGTAGCCGGTGTTGGTACCTGTCATATCTCATATCTTTGCATTTGCATATAAGACATTCATGTTAATACTAAACATGAATTTGACATAGTCGGTTTGCAGGGTTCTAAGGCCCATATCTTTTGATCCACAATAGATACAGCCACATGCCGTACCATTTTGGAAAGAGCAAATTGTAGTCTATCATCTAAGTAAGGAGTCGAGAGGGACCATAATGGACCCAAGTTCGACTTTGTATTAATCGGATCCGTAGAACCGGGTATAACCGGGTACCCGGACCCGAACTTTCGGGTCAAATAACCGGGTAACCGGGTACGTCCCCCAAGAAAAAAAACATTCCCATAATTAGGGTCAAAATACCTACCTCTGGAAAAAATTTCAAAAAAATCGGGTCGTTTTTACTAAACTAGAGTTGTTCCAAATTCTTTAACAAATCCACGCCTATTGGAGCCTCTGAACAAAATTCTTTTATAAATCCACGTCTATTGGAGCCTCTGAAAAAAGTCTTTAACAAATCCACGCCTATTGGAGCCTCTGAAAAAAGTCTTTAACAAATCCACGCCTATTGGAGTCTCTGAAAAATAGTTCTGTTTAAAATCCAGGCCATTTGGAGCCTCTGAAAAAAAATTAGTGTAATAACAGAACTAAAATGCCCATCTCTGAGCGAATCACACTTATCGTTTTTGTTTTCTACGACAGAGAACAACAAGAGAGAATCGCCCTCTCTCACGCTTCTCGTTTATAAGGCACCCTCATGACAATATCAACAATTAATTGACAAGCAAACGCTTAAAGAGCAACAGCTTTCATTTTGTTGTGATTTGTTGTTCGCTATTTTTTCAAAACATGATCAAATATAGACAAACAACGAGATATATAAATTTCTTAAGCCGGCAGAGAGCACAACAAGTAAATACAACAAAAACAAATTGATAAAAAAATACAAAAAAATATTTAATAATATATTTTTTCACAGCTACGTTTCACATCCACAAATGTCCAGAATTCGCCCAGTGAAAACAAAGCATTGCCCACAGAATGGCAAAATGCAAAACCCTTCGAAGAGATACCCTCGATGGGTGACAAGTCCATGATGAAAGATATGTTACCTTGGGGTAAATACGGTCGGATGGAATTACCAAAATTGTTAGTGACCCTTAAACAGGACATGGGACCAATTGTACGAGCTCCAGCATTTATGGGTCGTCCCACATCGGTTATAACTCATAATCCAAATGATTTTGAAATTGTATTTCGCAATGAAGGTATATGGCCCATAAGACCGGGAGGTGATGCTCAAACGTATCATCGAACAGTACATCGAAAGGATTTCTTTGAGGGTGTTACGGGTTTAGTGGCAGTGTAAGTAGCAAGAAAATTTGTGAAGTTTTAGTTGTGAGTGAAAAAATTTACAAAAACAGCTGTTCCAAATTGTTCTTATCAGCAAAAAACAAATTAACAAAATTATGTCGCTGCAGGTGGGGTAATAAACAAACAAATAATCACAAATATTATCTGACGAAATGTGTCAAATCAGTTTCTAGTCACACTTAATAGATTTTAAAATGAGTCACGAAGTTCCAAAAAATCACATCGCTTAACAAAATATGTTAAAAAAATCGAAGCCTGTCAGATTCTCTGATGTAGTCGAACACCTGTTCAGCAGTTCTTATCAGTTAAAAATTAAAATAAATTATATCGGTTATCTTAAACAATGAACGACAAACAATATCAGATAAAATATTTCCAATTTATTTATAGTCACACTTAATCGATTTTAAATGAGTCACGAAGTACCATAAAAGCCCCTTAAACACTTTATAAAAATCCACACCTATTGAAGGCCTTGGAAATAATTCTTTAAAACAATCCACACCTATTGAAGGGTTTTGAAAATAATTCTTTAAAATAGATCCACACCTATTGAAGATCAGGAAAATAATTCTTTAAAAAAAATCCATACCTATTGAAGACATTGAAAAAAATCCATACCTATTGAAGAAATTGAAGAAAAAAATCCATACCTATGAAGACATTGAAAAAAAATCCATACCTATTGAAGACATTGAAAAAAAATCCATACCTATGAAGACATTGAAAAAAAATCCATACCTATTGAAGACATTGAAAAAAAATCCACGCCTATTTGGAGGTTCTGAAAAAAAGTCTTCAAAAAAAACCACGCCTATTTGGAGGTTCTAAAAAAAATCTTTAAAAAATCCACGCCTATTTGGAGGTTCTGAAAAAAATTCTTTAAAAAATCCACGCCTATTTGGAGGTTCTGAAAAAAAAATTCTTTAAAAAATCCACGCCTATTTGGAGGTTCTGAAAAAAAATTCTTTAAAAATCCACGCCTATTTGGAGGTTCTGAAAAAAAATCTTTAAAAAATCTACGCCTATTTGGAGGTTCTGAAAAAAATAATTCTTTAAAAAATCAAGGCTTATTTCATGTTTTTTCTTTTTTCATAGGCACGGTGAAAAATGGGGCAGTTTCCGATCAGCTGTGAATCCTGTCCTACTGCAACCCAAGAATGTACGGGTATATTTGCATAAAATGGCCCAAGTGAATGATGAATTTATTAAAAGGTAAATATATTTCAAAAATCCAGACCCATAATACAAAACAAATTTAAAACATATCCATTTGCAGAATTCGTCAAATACGTGATCCCGAAACGTTGGAAGTTCCTGCCACTTTTCAAGAGGAAATGAATCGTTGGACCTTAGAATCGGTATCCGTTGTGGCTTTAGATAAACAATTGGGTTTGATTACAACAAATCGTGATAATCCCGATCTGAAGAAAATGATTTCATTACTAAATGATTTCTTTGAATTGGGATTGAAACTTCAAGTGGGAATTCCTATTTGGAAATATTTCAAGACACCGAAATTCTGGAAATTTATGAAAGTCCTTGATGGTCTATTGGAAATTGGTAATAAATATGTAAATGAGGCCATTGAACGTCTCGACGCAGAGAAGAAGATGGACTTGCCAGAGAAACCAGAAAATGAGAAAAGTGTATTGGAGAAGTTGATTAAAATTGATAGGAAAATTGCCACTGTTATGGCCATCGATTTGATATTGGCTGGAGTCGATACGGTAAGGTGGAAACAAAATCAATTCAAAACACTATTTTAATAAATATATTTTTTATAGACTTCCACAACATTTACTGCCCTTTTGCTGTGTCTGGCTAAACATCCCGAGAAACAAGAAAAGTTGCGTGAGGAAATTCGACAAATTCTACCTCACAAAGACTCTCAATTTGAGCCAAATTCTCTGAACAATATTCCCTATACCCGAGCGTGTATAAAGGAGGCCTTACGCATGTATCCCCTAACAGTGGGCAATACTCGCATTTTGGCTAACGACGCTGTTCTAAGTGGTTACCAAGTACCCAAAGGTACCCAAGTCACCATGGTATCGACTGCTTTGTTGCAGGAGGATGAACACTATACCAAAGCTAAGGAATATTTACCAGAACGTTGGCTACGTCCCAACAAGGCGGCGGAGGAAGCCGGCGAATGTCCTCATGCTCTTAAAGCCAGCAGTCCATTTATTTATTTACCCTTCGGCTTTGGTCCACGTAGTTGTGCTGGTCGTCGTATTGTTGAAATGGAACTGGAATTGGGTATAGCTCGGTTGGTGCGAAATTTCCATATTGAATATAATTATCCGACAGATAATGCTTTTAAATTTAAACTTATTAATATACCGAATATCCCGTTGACATTTAAGTTTACCGATGTTGAAAATTAAATTAACGAAGAAATACATATTTGAAATTATTTATATATTATATATATATAGTATGTCTTGAAAAAATGCATTATTTTTATACCCTCCACCATAGTTTTGTTTTCCGTTTGTAACGCATCGAAATAATCATTTCCAACCCTATAAAGTATATATATTCTTGATCAGCGTAAAATTCTATGACGATTTAAGCATGTCCGTCTGTCTGTGAGTGACTACACTCTAGCGTCTAAACGAATTGAGATAGATCGCCAAAAATTTTGAATGGAGTCGTATTTTGGGGGTTTTATTGCATTTTTCGACCGAATTCGCTGAAATTTGGTTCTTTGAGTTCATATTGGGTAGCCAGGGCTAGTCCCCATATAACACCCTTTTTATACCCTTCACCACACTGCGCTACAGGGTATTATGTCTTTGTGCATATGTTTGTAACAGGCAAATGGAAACGAGGTAGACACGTGGTTCCTTTTGAGAATATGCATAGAATCACTTTCTGAGTCGATTTATGCATGTCCGTCAGTCCGTCTGTATATGTTAAATTGTAAACAAAGTATAGGTCGCATTTATGATCCGATTTGGATGAAATTTGGCACACGTCACTTATTTGGCCTAAGGACGAACCCTATTGAAATTTGTGAAAATCGGTTCAGATTTAGATATAGGTCCCATACAGGCCCCAAAGCCCCAATATATCTTTCGATTTGCACGAAATTTGGCATAGGGTACTGAATATGTTCCAGAATGATGTGTGCTAAGTTTCGTTAAAATAGTTTCATATTTATTTTATGTAAATGGTGCACCAAGGTCCCTATATAGATTTAGATATAGCTCCCATATATAGTTTCGTCCGATTTAAGGTAAATGGTGCACCAAAATCCTTATATATCTTTCGATTTGCACGAAATTTTGCATAGTGTACTGAATTGAGTCTAGAAGGACGTGTGCCAAGTTTCGAGAAAATCGGGTCAGTTTTATATATAGCCTCCATGAATATTTTCGTCCAATTTTATGTAAATGGTGCACCAAAGTCCATATATATCTTTCGATATACACGAATTTTGGCATATCGTACTGGATTGAGTCTAGAATGATGTCCGGTAAGTTTCGGGAAAATCGGTTCAGATTTCGATATATCTCCCACATATACATATATATTCGTCCGATTTTACATAAATGGTGCACCAACTCCTAATGTTTGCCCGATTAACACGAAATTTGGCACAACGTATAAAATTGAGACTTGAATGACATTATTGTCTTTTGATAGAATTGGTGTAGATGCAGCCATAGCTTCTATATGTATTTCGAACAGGTGTCTGATTGAAATTAAATGTTTAATAGTGCAGCGTACCGAATAGCGTGTATCAATTTTGGTATACATCGTTTTCCATTAATTTATCCCATGGTACGCAGACGACTCTAAACCTACTAAATTAAATTAAATTTAGCGTAGGTTGCAGAAAGACATGAGTATGTTCCGTCGAGGGAACATTGACATGCAATGTAAGGATACATATGTACAATATACCCAAAGTGGAATACGACTTTACTACTTTCCTTACTGGTTTATATTAAAATAGTTGTCTGATTTTTTCCTCGTTTTGGGTTGGGTTCTAAGACTTTCCTGTAATCATTCTACCTGCGTAGGATATCGAAATAAAAAATTAGAACGTGAGGTTCGAAAATGAACTATATAAAACCTGTGGTGATGGCCTTGTATAACTGAAACCTCTAAATTGCAGTATTTTGTATATGTTCCATCCTACCATGCGTCGTCAATATCGGTCCACTTTTTGGGGTTTTTAGGAAAAATATCCATAAAATTTTCTGAAATTTGTATTTCATGTATATCGGCAGGCATTCAGGCGTTCCCTCCATATAATGATAATTTCTGAAGGGAAGAATTGAGATACATAACAAAAATATTGGGTTCGAAATTGACACATATCGCTCATTAATTATGCATAGCCTTCATATAATGATAACCCCAAATATTCGCTAATCCGTACACTCTCTAATCAATATTGGTCCCTCTTTAGGCATAGCCTCATATAACTTTGAAATCTAAACTGCAGTTTGATGCTTTTTAGGGCGAAGGAGCATTCATGTAAATGTTTTTTATTAATTTCTCTTTCGAGATGAGCTGCATGCCAGAGAGATACTACATTCCCACCATTATGCGACGCGTTTCGCCGTTGGTTAAGCGGCTCATCAGGCACATTGGGCAATGTGGCTTACAAATGTCTTTACTTGATAAGTTGTATTTATGTCGACTATTGCTGCAAAATTGCATCTACGAATTAAATTCAACCGTCTCAAGATTCGGACATATGGCATCACACCAGAACATTAATTTTCAGATCAGATTTTTCTTGTAGTGACGGACTACAGACTACAATATTTTTCTTCAATGGTATGCAACTGCATATTATGCAACCTTAGGAAGATAAAGAGGTGGCTTTGAATGCTAAGGCGCCGGACAACAATCAACAGATGCCATGGGAACCAGGGTTCAAATCCCAGCCGGGCTCAATCTGAATTTTTGAGTTTTATGCCTTTTTAGGGCGAAGGATCAATCATGTAAATGTTTTTTATTAATTTCTCTTTCGAGATGAGCTACATGATCGGAGTTGCAATGAAAAGGAAAGCCAGAGAGATACTACATTCCCACCATTATCCTTTTCATTGCAGTAGTTTGAAGATTTTATACTCTACCATGCCTAATTTGTATAAGTCCACGCTTTGGTGTTTTCAGATTTTAGGAAAAATTACCATTAAAAATTGCTGAAATTTCTATTTGGTGTACATAATGATTTACATTAATCTGTTTGTATAATTATCGGTATAGGTTCACTTTTTGGAGGGTACCCAAAGTTCGACCTGGCCGAACGTAAGGTTCTTTCATATGTTTCTTCTATAGTAGGCCATGAACAAAGTTTTTTATGAAAAAAAAAATATTTAAAAAATCCACGCCTATAGTCGTCCAGTAAAAAAATTATTTAACAAATCCACGCCTATAGTAGTCCAGTATAAAAAAAATATTTAAAAAATCCACGCCTATAGTCGTCCAGTAAAAAAAAATATTTAAAAAATCCACGCCTATAGTCGTCCAGTAAAAAAATTATTTAACAAATCCACGCCTATAGTAGTCCAGTATAAAAAAAATATTTAAAAAATCCACGCCTATAGTCGTCCAGTAAAAAAAAATATTTAAAAAATCCACGCCTATAGTCGTCCAGTAAAAAAAATATTTAAAAAATCCACGCCTATAGTCGTCCAGTAAAAAAAATATTTAAAAAATCCACGCCTATAGTAGTCCAGTATAAAAAAATTATTTAACAAATCCACGCCTATAGTAGTCCAGTATAAAAAAAATATTTAAAAAATCCACGCCTATAGTCGTCCAGTAAAAAAAAATATTTAAAAAATCCACGCCTATAGTCGTCCAGTAAAAAAAATATTTAAAAAATCCACGCCTATAGTCGTCCAGTAAAAAAAATATTTAAAAAAATCCACGCCTATAGTCGTCCAGTAAAAAAAATATTTAAAAAATCCACGCCTATAGTCGTCCAGTAAAAAAAATATTTAAAAAATCCACGCCTATAGTAGTCCAGTATAAAAAAATTATTTAAAAAATCCACGCCTATAGTAGTCCAGTATAAAAAAAATATTTAAAAAATCCACGCCTATAGTCGTCCAGTAAAAAAAATATTTAAAAAAATCCACGCCTATAGTCGTCCAGTAAAAAAAATATTTAAAAAATCCACGCCTATAGTCGTCCAGTAAAAAAAATATTTAAAAAATCCACGCCTATAGTCGTCCAGTAAAAAAAATATTTAAAAAATCCACGCCTATAGTCGTCCAGTAAAAATAATATTTAAAAAATCCACGCCTATAGTCGTCCAGTAAAAAAAATATTTAAAAAATCCACGCCTATAGTAGTCCAGTATAAAAAAAATAATTAAAAAAATCCAAGCCTATAGTAGTCCAGTATAAAAAAATTATTTAAAAAATCCACGCATATAGTAGTCCAGTATAAAAAAAATTATTAAAAAAATCCACGCCTATAGTAGTCCAGTATAAAAAAAATTATTTAAAAAATCCACGCCTATAGTCGTCCAGTAAAAATAATATTTAAAAAATCCTCGCCTATAGTCGTCCAGTAAAAAAAATATTTAAAAAATCCACGCCTATAGTAGTCCAGTATAAAAAAAATATTTAAAAAATCCAAGCCTATAGTAGTCCAGTATAAAAAAATTATTTAAAAAATCCACGCCTATAGTAGTCCAGTATAAAAAAATTATTTAAAAAATCCACGCCTATAGTAGTCCAGTATAAAACACATATTTAAAAAATCCACGCCTATAGTCGTCCAGTAAAAAAAATATTTAAAAAATCCACGCCTATAGTCGTCCAGTAAAAAAATATTTAAAAAATCCACGCCTATAGTCGTCCAGTATAAAAATTTTTTTTAAAAAATCCACGCCTATAGTAGTCCAGTATAAAAAAATTATTTAAAAAATCCACGCCTATAGTAGTCCAGTATAAAACAATTATTTAAAAAATCCACGCCAGTAAAAAAAATATTTAAAAAATCCACGCCTATAGTCGTCCAGTAAAAAAAATATTTAAAAAATCCACGCCTATAGTAGTCCAGTATAAAAAAATTATTTAAAAAATCCACGCCTATAGTAGTCCAGTATAAAAAAATTATTTAAAAAATCCACGCCTATAGTAGTCCAGTATAAAAAAAATTATTTAAAAAATCCACGCCTATAGTAGTCCAGTATAAAAAAATTATTTAAAAAATCCACGCCTATAGTAGTCCAGTATAAAACAATTATTTAAAAAATCCACGCCTATAGTAGTCCAGTATAAAAAAATTATTTTAAAAATCCACGCCTATAGTAGTCCAGTATAAAAAAAATTATTTAAAAAATCCACGCCTATAGTAGTCCAGTATAAAAAAATTATTAAAAAATCCACGCCTATAGTAGTCCAGT